AGGGCTTTTTATTTGTTTGTTTGGGATTTTTTGGAAGTGATTTCTCCTCTTATATTTATCTAAGCAATCTTATCTTAGACCTATCCCTACCCAATTTCCATTCCTATGCCAAACGGCAATTTATAATTTCTGAAAGCTATGCCCCCATCATTAGATATTCTCTAAAAACAATGCCTTGGCTAAAAAAGGATGTAATCCTCAGTTTGTCAGAGAAATATGACCACCTCAATTATTTAACTATACTTACATTTTAAATAAATGGGGCCTGGAGAGATGGCTCAATGTTTAAGAGTACTGGCTGCTCTTGTTAGAGGACCTGGGTTCAGTTCTCAGCACCCAATAGTAGCTCACATCTGTCTGCAACTCTAGTTCCAGGGGATCTGATACCTATTTCCGGCCTCCATGGGCACAAGACATGCAAACTGGGCACAACTGTGCATACATGTGTGAGTGTACACTCATATACATAACTAAAAATAGATGCATCTTTAAAAGTCTTCAATAGGACTGTGTAGCTAACATGGGGAATTCCATCCCGGTGGCTAAATTCACAGGAGCACAACAGTCCATTGTCTGCCTTTTACTGAGCTCCTTAGTTTTTCTCAGTCTGGATCAGAGGTAGCTTTGCAACTTTAATCTTCATGCAGTCACATTCTCACTAGAAACTGGCTGAGTAACTACTATTGTTATGGCTGCTATTGGTTCTGAAAACCCATGTGCTTAACATCCTCTATATGGTTTTCCTTCATTTCTGAGCTTTTCTACATAGCATGTTATCAAGTACCATGTTCATAATCATCTGTTAAACTGAGCATCTCAACAGGAAGAATTATGTTGTGATTCTGGCCCCTTATGTATTCTATTTTTTCCAAAGAGAGGGTGGAAGAAGACCTGGCTGGAGGCAAAAGGCAAGTGTGTGCTGCCCAGTCAGAATGTAGAAGTTCAAATCCTGGGTCTTCAAATCATCAAGGTTAGGCTGCTTTTTAACTTCTGTCTTCTGGGTCTTGGTTTCCCAATGGTGACAGTGAAACAGCACATAACTCAAGGACATACAGCATGAATAAGATTTGCATCTAGCATATGATGTAATACTTGGTGGTAAACTTGTCACATGTAATAGGCATTAACGTTTCTTCAGTTCAGTTAAGGAAATAATCATTTCCTATGTTTGTGATTATAGAAAAAATATATGAATGGAAAGCTTGGATCTCACAAAGATACACATGGAGAAACAGAAAATTGCAAGATAATACAGTGAATCCCATAGGCTGCCAGGAAAAGCTTTTCTGGGTGTCTGAGCAATGTATACTTACTAGTTGGGGTTATGTATTCTGTTACTTTTGGAAGTAATTAAATGTTGGAAGCTCAGTCCCCAGTATGGCAGTACTGAGGTAAAGCCTGGTGGTTATATCACTGAGAATATTGCCCTTGGAAGGGATTAATGTAGTTCTCTTGGGCTTTGATTGGTTCTCACAAGGACAGCTTTCTATACAGAAAAAGAACAAGTCTGTCCCCAAGTCTCTGGCTTCCCATCTTGCTATATGATCTCTCTGCAATTGCTCCCACTATCATAAGAGCCTCTGCCATGAAGCCCTGGCCAGAGGCAGAACAAAAAGACCTATCCAATTCTGGGCTTTCAGCTCCAGAACTGTGAACTAAATAAATCTCTTTTTATAAAGTACCAGGAACTTTCTTAAAAACAACATAAAAGGTCCTAAAAGATAGACTAAGAGAGGATGTTTAAAGAACTGGGCTCAACAACTATGGGAGGTTTTTAAATATGTAAAGCAGAAGCTATAACATAGTGTGTGTTAAAAACAAACAAACAAACAAACAAACAAACAAAAAAACCACCACCACCTCTCTAGGGGTATTGTGAAGAGCAGAAGGGTGTGGTGGTTTGAATAGGTATGGCCCCATGGACTCATGTGTTTGAATGCTTGGCCTATAGGGAGTGATACTATTAGGAAGGGTGGCCTTGTTGGAGCAAGTGTGGTTTTGATGGAGGAAGTGTGTCAAGTGTGGAGGCAGGCTTTGAGGTCTCATATATGCTCAAGTTAGGCCTTGTATCATATACAGTCTCCTGCTGCCTGCAGATTCAAGATGTAGAACTCTCAGCTCCTTCTCCAGCACCATGTCTGCCTGTATATCTGCAATGTCCAGCCATGATGCTAATAGACTAAACTTCTGAAACTGTAAGCCAGCCTCAATTAAATGTTTTCCTTTATAAGAGTTGCCATGGTCATTAGAGTCTCTTCACAGCAATAGAAACCCAAACTAAGACAGAATGCTAAGATCCAGGGAAACTTAGGAAGCTTTCAGAGTCACATAGAGGAGAGGCTATGACAGTCTAAAGCAATGCTGCTCAGAGCAGGAAACAGGGGAAGTACTAGAACAGAGTAACAGTTGGTGAAACTGATCGGACAGGTTTTTGTTTTGTTTTACCAAAGAGAGAAATAATTTAGGTAGAAACTTGGGATGTGATCTGAAAAAGATGGGGAACACAGCATAGTTTAGAGAAGGAAGGAACATTAAACAGAATGGGAATGCATGTGTTTGGAGTTTTGTGTGATGACATGGGTATCCATGTGTGAGTAGGGAAATGAGCATAGAAAATGTCTGGTTTGAACTAAAGGGAGTAGTGTTGGGGGACACTGGCCATGGGGTGAGACAATGGTCCACATATGTGATGTTGTGAAGTAGTCTTTGCACTTAGCCAAGTAGCACTGGGTGCCCTTCAAACCAATGTTGATAGTATGCAGAAGCTACGCCCTGGTAGTAAGAATGACAGGAAGACTGTAAACTACCAAATGTAGATTCTTCTTTAGGCCAGGAAGGAAGAAGTAGGGAAAGGGGGTTTCTGAAATTGGGGGTAATAGTTAGAGTGAGATTGTAGAACCTGATGAGCAATGGGAGACAAGATCTCTTTCCTGAGAAAGTGGTGAACAGAGGGAATGCATGCTGGTATGTTCTGTGAACAGAAAGAAGGTTGGGGGCAAAACAAAGCAGAAATAAGCTGGACGATTTCTCTTGAAGAACAAACTATTTGTGTACAGCAAAAAGAAAACAGACAAACCATCCAACTCACCAAAAACTAATCATAAAGAACCTGAGTGATCATCTGTAACATTTTGGAAGGTGGCCTGCATGTGTACATATGTGAAAAAAATACATAAAGCATATCAGTTATCTTTCATGCTAAATTTTTATTCAATGTTATGCAACTGCATAAGTATAAATATTTGTTCAATATACAACAATTATGACATTCATGGGGGGATTTCTTGGAGAAAATAAGACTGCAAACACTTTTATTGCACAGATCCTAACAAACTGAAGCTGGTAAATCTACAGCTGGGAGTCCTACTGAGGGGCACATCTTACAACCACACAGAGACTGACCAAATAGAACACAGAGAAATTCTACCAGCTGGTTGGGGGAGATTCACAACAACAAACAGGTATCACATGTAAGCAACCTTAAGTACTCTTTACTCATCCAAAATGCAAAAACATATTTGGCAAATGATAATACACTATACAAAATATACATAAAAATATCCTTTGTAAACAAGCAGCGAGTTGTGCTTTAAAGAAAACCAGACAGTTAGAAAGCAAAGGCTGTAAACCATGAACTACCTCCTGGACAGACCCGTCCTGATGTCTGAGTGGAGAAGGATCGGGCTATTAGATCTGCCAACCAGATATGCATTATAAGCTTTGAGACCATTTCTGAGACCCATTTGAGTTCTTGTAAAAATATTTGTTATACAGTTTCACAATGTAGTGATGGGGAGTGGCTAGAACTGTATGGTGGTGGGGAGACAGACAGGGGTAAGAGGACACTCCTTTTTCCATTCTTTTTTTTTTTCTCATCACCAACTGGCTTTACAAAAACAGGCAACCAAGCAGTCAATGATGCGATGCCTCTGTTTCTGGAGTGCTTACAACCTTATGAGGTGATTTACAGTCCACAGGGTGAGCTCACATAAACAAGCTTATGGTGGAAAGCTACCAAGACACCCTCAAGGGGTCTGGTGCTAGATTCATTATTCATTTGTAAATTTTTTCCCTCTTACACAACCAAGTCTTGCTATGGATCCCAAGCATCTTATAAAAACGTATCTGCATCGTGACTTAGTACTTATTTCAGCAAGTGCCATCTTACAGTCCAAAACAATACAGCTCAGGACCACCTTCCCAGGGCTGGCATCACATCAATCGTTAGTGAAGAAAATGCCCAACAGACTTGCCTAAAAGCCGATAAGATTGAAATGTTTTCTCAATCAAGTTCCTTCTTCCAAGATGATCCAAGGTGTGTGCCAAGTTCACAAAAAAAAAAAAAAAAAAAAAAAAAAAAAAAAAAAAAAAAAAAAAAAAAACGCGACAACAGAAACAAATCAGAAAAACCCTCGGCACTAAAATGATCTGACAGACTCTACATATTTCATGGTATACAAAATTTAAATAAGGCTTAGCAAAAGTAAAAAGGATGGTCACATTCAAGCACCAAATAGCTCCAGTCTCTTTGTTACAAAATGCTGTTCTTTATTAATACAGTAATTTTTTGCATACAAATAAAGAGATCGTGTTATGAAATGTATGGAGCTACTCGATGCATCAGAAATGAATGTGAAACCCAGGAACTTGCTAAAAACAGCAAGCTTCATCTACAACATAAGGCCCCAGCTATGTATTAAAATGTATCTGATGTCCTGATTATTCTTTAATATATATGCTATGATGCCAAAATCCACCCCACCCCCTCTTCCTCAACAAAAGCAAATTTAAAACCTCTTCCAATGCCTAATGCATATCACTCCACCTAAGTATTAGCAGATCTGTGTGCAACCAGTGATTTTCCTGTTTTCTCCTGGGCAGGGCTAGTGCAGCACCTACCATAAACATGTGCTTCTTGGACTCACAGCATAAAGGCCTGAGGGTAGGAGCTTGGAAAGGAGGGAAAGAAAGAAGAAAGCTGACCTGCAGTGTGTTTCTAGTCCCTGCGAGCCCTCAGGTGAAAACCAGACATATAACCCAGAGACAATGACAATTGCCGTTTTAGCCACTTGGACCTGAGGGTCAAAATGTCCCCTACAAGGGCTGTCAAATAGATGCCTGGCTCCACCTGTCCTGGCCACTCCTAGCAGAGGGGGCCTGAATGCAGCAGCTCAGAAATACATGTAGCCAGATTCTGTATGATCAAAGATCGTGGTTAAATATACACACAAAAACTCACCATCTACTTACTGTATTTAGGGCTTTCTTTCATCTTTAACTCTACTTATACAAATGGAGCCTTGAACTATTCTCAAACCACAGACCAAAACACGTAGGTGGATGTGTACATATGCGATCATAGGTGGGTTTCTATTTTCACACACACCCAGCTCTGACCACTTTGCTTCATTACTACATTAGGGTTAGATGTTAAAACAAACATCATCTTTTAGAAACACTTCGGTCAACAAGGTGGTCAGCAGCAAGGTACACACTCTACACCCCGAACCAAACACATTTTGCTAGGTATGTACAGCGAGACTTCCTTACCAGCACACCGGGCTGGAAAGGTAGGTTTTGTACAAACACTATCTGGCAACAGTTTTACCGGTTACAACTGGGAAGGCATCTGGAAAAAAGTTCCCTTTTTCCATCTCTCCTCCTCCTCCTCTTCAGTGAGCCTCTGAGCTCTGCTTGGAGGACATTCCCATACAGTGCTGGTTTGTAAGGTGGCAAAGACCCAGTTACAAGTATGCTCGGGTGGGGTCTCAGCCCTGCACCAAGGCTGCATGTTAGGAGGCCTTTTTGTGAGGACTGCTACGCAAGCTCTCCTTGGCCCTCCTCTGCCGCACAACAAAGTCCTTCTCAGAGGAGAGAGGGAGGGGGCGGTCTGTGCTTTGGGCTGGGGGTGCTCTGGTCACCTCCCTGCCCACATTCTGTTTCCTGGCTGGGGGAGGCTGGGTAAGCTCTCTCCCTTTGGGTTCCCCTGTGGTAGCAGTTACTGACAATGCCCTGTCCCGGTGACCTGCTGTGCTGGGCACCTGTGGGTCTGGGAGTTGTGACTCCAGGGCAGAGTTGGAGAGGCGGAAGGAGGGCAGAGAGTCACTCTTTGTCATTTGGCTTCGGCCATCTCCCCCAGACTGGGACTTCCTGTGGTCCCTGCTGCTGGGGGCTGGGGATTCTGAGGTCCCTGTGATAGCCTTGGCTGATGAGGGGCTGCTGGTGGCTGCCGCGGTGACCTCTCGTACTGCAGGCTGGGCCTCAGGAAAGCTGGCTGAATAGCTCAGAGACTTTCCTGGGGGACCAGCTGAGCGGAGAGAACTCTGTGCAGTGGCAGAGGGTGACCGTTTCATCCCGCTGGGCTTGCCTGTTTCAGACAGTGGCTTCTGAGGACTAGGCCCTTTCCCCTTGGACTCTGAGAAGCCCTTCCCCATGGCTGGCCTGTCGGGGCCTTTGAGTCGGCTCTCACCATGGTGCAGGGAAGGGCTGGCCTCCAGCTTGTAGCCCTCTGGGGCTGGAACATAAAGTGCTTCTGGGCATTTCTTTCCTTCTGACCTTCTGTCCCCAGTGGAAGCCTGTTGACTTGGGCTTTTGTCTGTCTGTCTGCCCAGAGTGGGGCCGTCTTTCACAGTGGATGGTTTTGAATGCTTTGGAGACAGGCTTTGCTTTTCACCAGAAGTGAGAAGTTTCTGGTCTACTGCTTCATTGAACCCTGGATGTCCTTGTCTGGGTGGATGCTTTTCCTGTATCTCTTGGGGACAGCCTCCATTGGTGGTTTTCAGTTTGGCATCTAGAGTACTCTCTTCAGTGTGGAGAGTGATAGTGACCCTACTTTCTCCCTGCCCAAACACATTGACTGCTTTGCCCTGGGTAGCCAGGATGTCAGGGAACACGTCTAAGGGACCCTTACTGCCAACCTTACCCTCTCTGCTGGAGCCACCGAGGGGTTGAGTGGCAGGCTCTTTGCCTTTTACAGACCCAGCACTCGGCTTCTGTGAGGAGAGGGACCTGTCAGGGTGCTTACACTTTGAAGGGCTGGGATCAGGGCCAGGCTGGGACTTATGGCTACTGCAGTCACTGTGCCCAGCACTGGTGGTGGCAGTGGTAGTAGTGATGGGTGCAGCAGCAGATCTGGGAGTGTCCTGGAGGCTGGTGCTGGGTTGTGTAGCAGGTTTGGTCCCCAGATCCTTGGTAAAAGTATGGTTTGGAGAACTGCAATGCTGCCAAGCTGCTGGGTTAGACAGCTCTTTGGTGGTCGGGGGTTGTTGAGGACCACTGCCCCCATGTCTCTGTGGACCCTGTTCCTTCCTGTCGGGCTCTCTGGGAGCCTGTTTCTGCAGAGAGGCGGTGGTGGAGAGCTTTTCACTCTTCTCACTGTCAATTCCTGGTGGCTGAGGAGGGTGCCTGGTGGCAGGAACTTCAGGTTTGGATTCTGTGCCTTTCCTTGCCCTGCCGACCTCCTTTTCATATAGAAGCCCAGCTGAGTGAAAGGAGTCTTCCCTGGCCAGGGACTTTACCTCCTCTTGGCCATCTCTGTAGTTTGTTTTTGCACACACCCATGTTTTCTCCGTGGTCTGAGTCTGCATGTAGAAATCGGGGTGGGTCCTTCCCCCAGAAGGGAGACTTTTGGAATTGTCACTGGCTTTACCAGTCTCTGTAGGACACAGCTTCACACAGGGGTCTCTGTATACATCATCCCTCATGGCGGAGCTTTCGCTCTTCACCTTTTCAGAGGGTTCCTTCAGACACGGCTTCTCCTTTGAAGAGATCCCTTCTGGTGGGAGCAGGGCACGTGTACCCAGCCTGGCTGGGTCAACATTATGTAGGGTCTGCCCAGAGCCAGGAAGGACCTTGGTGTCACTGGAACGGTCTTGGTGTTTGGTGGGACTACTGTCTTTCTGCTGGAGGTGGCTCTCTGTGACAGTTGCTGTGGTCCTGGCAGCAGGATGAATGGCCTTCCTATCCTGCTTTGACTTTGGCTCTGTCCCCAGAGCTGCTAGGGAGTCCTGGAGACCCCGGCTTGGGGGCAGGAACCGAGGCTCCAGCAGGTAAGATTTGTTCACCTTTAAGCTGGCGGAGGAAGGCTCTCTCAGGCTGGTGGAGTCACTCTTCTTCCCACTGCTACCAGGAAGAGCTGGTGGCCCAGAAGATCCCATGCTGACACCTGGGCTAGGGCTCTGTGCAGGCTCTGGGGAAAGCAGCTCTGTTTTGGAGGCATGAGGTCCAGACAGGAGAGCAATGTCCAGTGTGCCTTCAATTGGCTTTAGGTACGAAACTGACCTGCCCTCCAGCTTATACTCAGAGGGGCTCTTCCTCACAGGGGATTCGGGAGCAACAAAGCCTGCTTTCTCCCCTCCATTCTCTCCCCGGCCAGCTAAGGCTTTGAGAGGAACAAAGGAAACAGCACTCATCTGAGATGTGTGGGTACTGCTGATAAATGCCCGGCTCTCAGGGGCTGGCATGGTCTCCTGTTGTCCAGCCATGGGCCGTACAGGGTTCCCTGGCAAGCATTCATGGGTGCTAGATGTCATCTTGGGTTTCAGGATGTGACTATCGTCTTTGTCATCCAGTGACATTTTCTTTCGGAGGTAATCAATATTGGCCAGCTTGCTGTCTAGTTTCTCACTTCGAAGAAGCTCTTTGGCCTGGGAGACCTTCTCTGTGTATTCACCCTTTCCAGGAGTGGGCCTGTCAGGGATGTGACACATACTATCCTGGAGGATGCTAGATGCTGAAGCCCTCTTAAAGTCACTTAGAGATTGGCTGTGCTCCCCAGGTGCCAGGCTGCATGCTGCCCCTTCTGAGGCCACCCCTTCAATGGCCCGCACGCTGGCCTGCTTGTGGAGAGTGTCCTTTAGCAGGCTTCCCACAGAAGACGACTCTGCTGTTGTGTTTTCAAAATGACCTGACCTGTCCAACCCCTTGGGGTACACTTTCTTCTCTCTCTCCTCCAGCCTGAAGAGAGCATAGCTTTCTGAATCACCACCAAGGCTGTGAGGTTTCTGGTGGGGTTCATGTTTCTCCTCTGGTTTCTTCACTATGACCTTGGCCTTTAGCTTGTCCCGGTCCAGGTCATCCACAGACTCTTGCCTGCCCAGCTTCCGAGACACAGGGCGTTTCAAACAGCCTTGTTCTACTGGCCTGGCCCGACTGAGGGAAGGCGCGTCACATACATTCTCCTCCAGGCTCTGCAGCGTCACCTCCCTCTGACACTGTTCCCTCTGCACCTCCTCTTGTGTCACCTCCAGGCTGTGCTTGCGGGAGCACAGGTGCTTCTTGTCACTGCTGTAGGAGGGTGACAGCTTTTCCTCTGACTGTACCCGCTTCAGCAGTGGGGAACGGGGCGGCTCTGCACTCTTGGGCCTCACGATGTGTCTGACGATGGTGGGGGGGGAGTGCATCTTGCTAGGAAAGGCTTGAGTGATCTTGGCATTGCCCAGCGAGTGTCCCAACAGAGGGGATGGGGACCGCTGAGGGGAGGTTGGCTGGGGAGTTGGAGAGGGTGTCCTGGCCAGCGGGGAGAGTGGGATGCTGCCAGCTGACTTCCGCCTTCCAGAGCGGTATCGTTGCCCACTGAGTTTGGGGGCCAGGCCGTGGAGGGTACTGGGCCGGATATGCCCTGAACCTGCTGGAGAATTGGGGGCACTTGAACTTGGTGAGCTGCTCTGGGAGGAATTTGTACCTGTGGGTGGAAAACATGGACTGTGAGCAACTAGGTGTCCTTTGCTTCCTACACTTCTGTTCCAGAAGTTCACGGAAGGCTTCTCACATAAGCTTCCCCATAGACCTATTACCCACTTTATTCTAATAGTCAGAATGGCCCCCAATTGTGTCCTATCCAAGTGCTACCTGTCACAAGTCAATTCAGCCTGGTTTCTTCATCCTTGCCTGGCTTATGCCTTCCAGGACATGCCTTCCTTTCCACTCTCTGGGGCTGTCTAGCCTAGAACTACTCACCTGATGGGAAATCAGGAGTAGAGCGATAGCTGGGTGTTGGTGATCGTGGGGACAAACTGTGAGTAGGGGACCCTGGAAGGCTCTCTCCAGATGACAGGGATCGGTTCAAGCAGGAGAAACTTCGGCTGGTGTGGAGTAAAGGAGAAGGCTGCTTGGCTAGTTTCTTGAAGAGAGATCTCCTCCTGAGCAGAGACAGCAGCAAAGGGTCAGAATTTACTTTCAACAACCATCCTCATGAGCAAGGCACGTCACCAGTCCCACCACTGTCACACAGTGACAGGATAGCCAACCTACAAAATGGCAGCATGCCACTTCCGTATTGACAACTTTCTCATGGCCTAGGAGACTGACAGGGTGCATGAAGGATCTCTTAATTCCAAACAGCAAGAAATAGTAAAGTAAGAAAGTCATAAAATATTAAATCCTTCACTGCTGAGTACATCCTCCCAACGACTGTTGTCTTGGGTATAGACATACTTTAAGGTGGGAGGTTTTGAGCAGTGGTTTTTATTTGTGAAGGACTGTTTGCTGTGCCTGATCCACTGTGGACTTGTAAATGTGACCAACACAGTGTGTTTTTGCCTTTACCTGGAAAACACGGAATGAGGTGAAGCCCAAGCTGCTGTATCAGTGGGCAACAGATACAAATGTGCATTCAGTGTTAAAAGAGTTCATTACAGAAAAGTATACAAACGCCCACAGCTTATCAGTGTAGTAACTGTACATGGTTCTTTTACCAAAGAGGCCTAGGATAGCCCTGGTAGTTGTTGGAATGCTAAACATTAAAACAATTTTCCTCTATAACATGAAGAAAATGTAAATATGAAGTGCCCTCTCAAGAAAACCTGGAATGATCCTATGCTAGAACTTGTCTAAAAGGAAAATAAATGCATTTGGGATAAAATGACAGATGAAGGCCTAGAGAGGTGGCTCAGAAGTTAAGAGCACTGGCTGCTCTTCCAGAGGACCCAGGCCACCTGATGGATCACCACCATCTCTAACTTCAGTTCCAGAGAACCTGACACCTTCTTCTGGCTCTGTGGGCACCAGGCACACACATGGCGCATAGACACACATGCAGGCCCAACACCCACACACATAAATAGAAGTCAGGGGATGAAGCATCCCACTTCCTTCTGTCTCCAGAATGACCACCTTTGATTCTCTTACCTGTTTCTATTTCCATCTCTATAGTATATATAACTCTCTATACGTCATGTGTTTACATGGTTATTTTAGTTTTTCTAGGCCTTGGGGCTTATCTGTTGATGCAACCAAGAAAAATGAGAAGCTGAGTCAGGAAGTGTAGGCCCATAATCCCAGCGCATTGGAAAGCTGAGACAGGATTCCAAGTTCAAGGCTTGTCTAGGCTACAGCGTGAATATAAACAATGCTACCGAGTGAATTTAAGGCCAGCCTGGGAAACTGGGGCTCTGTCTCAGAACAAAACAATGACAAAAAATAAAAAGAGGGTGGAGGATGTTGCTCGGTGGCAGAACACATGCTTATGTACATGAAGCTGAAGCCCAACCCCCAGTTCTTAAGCAAAAGAACCCCAAAACATCGCCATAAAATTAGTGTTAAACTTATAAAAGTCACCGTCTACCATCTGACACCATATGCTGTCCCTCTCTTTCTGGTCCTAAGATATCTAAAGCAAAAATATCCCAACCCCCCACCAACCAGCAATTTGATTACTTAGACGGCTCCTGCACCATTCTGCCTCAGATGGGCTCCGTACTGTTTTCCTACATAATAACTGTTTTTCCTGGAGTTAATAAAGCACTTTGATTAGACAACTTCTTTTATATTTCTATCCAAAAGTCTTAGCATGATGAACTCCCAGGTTCAAGTGAACAAAGGATCATGACTATGGCAGCTCAAAGGAGCCATACCCAGACCAGAAAGTAATGCCCCTTCCCAGTGCACAGGCTCGCATGTGCTTTAGTCTATACCATTGCGTGTCACCTCATTAGATTTTAGTCAGACAGAGCTCTTATTTCCAGACTTATTTGAAAGCTATAAAGATTCAGTTATTTTGTGATATATGACATTAGAAAAAAGACCTTCCTATTAACTGCAGATTTCATGTGGACAAATTGCCTGCTGGTCGAGTGTATCAAATCCAACTGTCCTGGAATGATATCTGAAGGCTTTAACAATGAGAAAGGGAAACAAAAACACAGCAGAGCTGATGAGATGGCTCAGCAGGTTAAAGTGCTCAACACACAAGCATGGCCACCTGTGGTCAATCTCTTGAGCCTATGGTGGAAGAAGAAAATTAGTTCCCAAAAGGTGCCCTCTGATGCACTGTGTGTGTGTGTGTGTGTGTGTGTGTGTGTGTGTGTGTGTGTGTGTGTGTGTGTGTGTGTGTGTGTGTGTGTGTGTACACAAAAAACAATATATAGTTTTAAAACCAGTGTGATAGCTATTCTTGACTGTTGACTACATCTGGAACTTAAACTCAAAAAACAGAATGGAAGACGCACCTGTGAGGGTTTTGTTTGCTTGTTTTGTTTCTTTTTATTTTCCCTTCATTTGAATTCACTTCTAATCTGGATCTTTGAGTTAGGAAGACAGGCCTTTAATCTGGGACACACCTTCTGCTGGAAGCCCATACAAGGACATGGAAGAAGGAAGCTTTTGCTCTTTTGCTCTTTGTCTGCTTACCCTCGCCTTGCTAGCATGGCCATTCCTTCACTGGCATTAGAACCCAGTTCTCGGAGGATTCCTGCATATACTGAAGACCAGCTGAGACATCCAGTCATGTCTACTGAGCAAATAGGGGATTCTTGGGCTTTCCATTCACAGCCAGCCATTGTTGGATTTGCTGGACTGTAGCCTGTAAGTCATTCCAATAAATCCCTTTTAAATATAGAGAGGGGTTCATTCTGTAAGTTCTGTTCTTCTAGAATCCAGAGAACCCTAACTAATACAATCAGTAATGGACTTTTCATGGTGTCCACACATGCTAAAGATTGCAACAGCAATCTTTTTACAGTGAGAGCCAGTAATTCTGCTATCCATGCAATGCATTGAACTTTAATGTCTGCTGTGAACTGTGGTATAACATTTCTCATAGAGAAATACAACTTTCTCAAACATACTGGATAAGGGACACATTTTATCCAACACCGGTGGATATCAACCTTTCAAGAAGGCTGACCCAACCTACCTTTCTAAACTTTCCTTCTTCTTAGACTTTTTGCTCCTTCTCACCATCCGGCTCTTGTAACTGTTCCTTCTGGCTGGTCCTGTTTTGATTGATGTGTTTTCAAATGGGGTAGTGGTGATTGACACCTTATTCCCACTCTATAAAAGAGATGAAGTTGTATTAGAAAGAAATGCTGTGAAGAAGTGAGATCAGAACCAAGACAAGTAACAAGACAGGTGCATTGTGTAAGGGAGTGTCTTCCATTGGTAACAACTCTACAATGAACAAAGTCCTGACAGTACAAATGGGGCGGGGGTAGACAAAGTAACAAGTCTCTTTAGTGTGGGTGAGAGTCCACACATTTCACATATCTGAGGCAAATCCAAGCTCCAAATATTAGCAGGCTTCTTTCCCTGCCAAGGCTTCTCATCCACTGTGCTAGCTACCAGCAGAACCCACCATCTCCTAGAGCTCAGTAGAGGAGTAAATGAGAGTTTGCAAAGCCTTTAACACCAAGTGTGACACATGGAAAGGGCTCTATAAATAACAGCCATCTTCATCCATATGTATTAAATATAAATGTGCCCAGTAGCTGTCTGGTCTTACTTGATATATTTTCCTCCTTTCTCTGTTTCATGTTTTTCTTTGACCTAGAAATCATAGGGCGACAAACTGAATGAGACTTTTATTTGTAATAATGTTAGACTATCCCTTTCTTATTGTCATAAAACCTGTCAGCTTGCACAGTGGGGAAGTATGTGACAGCCCACAGGGAAAGCACTCTTTAACCAGGTCAGGCACAGAGACATACATCCTGTGGGTTTCTGTGTCCTTTCAACTTCATCTTGGTATGGGGCTTGCTAGTCAGGCCCTAGTGATGAAGGTGAGCATTGCAGTCAGCAGCCAGGCATAGGGATGCTGGGTCAGGTGGGCAGACACTCTGGCTCCTACAATCTTTCCTGGAATGTCATAATATCCAAGGGATAAATGATTATCTCAAAATCAGAGGTGGCTATGATTAACTTGAAAGGATAAGTAGTATTAGAGCAAAGGCGTTTTAAAAGGTGCTTTCCAGAAGATACCCAGAAGGTAAGTCTGAAGCCATACCAAACCATGGGAAGACAAGTGCTGTGGGAAAGGGGGACTGGGAAAACAAATCTCTGCTTCACCGATATCTACTGTCTTTTCCCGATTGGGAAATATCCCATACTATTATAAGAAGAAAATGGTAAAACAAAAAGAAAAGAAAAACCACTGAAATCTCTACTCAGCTCCCAATGGTAGTGTTTCAATCCATTTCCTGCTGGGTTTTAATTGTTTTTGAGGAGGAGGAGTGAGAATCAGACGTAGGGCCTAGGTGCCTGCAAGTAAGCACTCTGTCATTAAACTACAAGGCTACATCATTCCTAGTCTATACTAGTCTTTCTTTGGGCATATATAAATATATGCACATCTTATAAACTATTTTAATGTTAGATTTGTAGCTATTTTCCATTTTACATGTCTAAAAGCCTCTCATCATTAAATAATCTCCAAGAACATGCTTTGTATTGGCTGCCTACTAATATCTCCCCACTGTTACTCTTTCTGGCTTTTATTTCTATGAGCTGATGGTCCATTATTTATTTATATTTCTTTAGGGCAGTTCTCAACCTTCCTAACACCACGACCCCTTAATACAGTTCCTGATGTTGTGGTGACCCCCAGCCATAAAATTATTTTGCTGCTCCTTCATGATTATAATTTTGCTAGTGTTATGAATTATAATGTAAATATCTGATATGTGACCCTGTGAAAGCGCTGGTTTACTCTGGGAGGCATGACCCATAGGTTGAGAACCACTGCCATACAGACCACTTTGTTCACATTTTATTTCTAGTCTAGTATTGAAAAGACAGTGTTTCATTATTGCCTTCATAGTTGTTTATGTACCACTTTAGAAGTATAATTTCACACCTAATAATAGAATTGAAGAAAATATTTCAGGCAGATGGAGTCTGAATGCCCACAGAATGATATGTGTCTTACATGCAAATGCAAAACCTTTAAATTTTACATTTACTTTAATGGTAGAGGCTGGCCTTCTAGTTTTTTCAAATGGAAAATTCACTGTTGATGATTTTTGGAAGGAGGTCTTCATAAACTGAGTGATCCTATGATGACATCGGACTTACTCCCCCATGTTGCATCCCACAAAACAGCTTGGGTACATCTTCCCCTGGTATTATGACCAGTGTTGCCTTATCCTATCAGCCACTGGGTCTGTTCAAGTGCATTTCAGCATTGCCTTTTTTTCTTAAAGTAGAGTCTCACATTGTAGTGCAGGCTGACCCAGAACTCACAATATAGCCCAAGTTGGCCTCGAACTTGTGGCAGTCCTTCCTCTTCAACCTCCAGGGGGCTGGGACTTTTTACCTTTTTAAGAAGCTAACAATGCCATCTGGTGTTTTAAAAACACAATTTAGTTTTAAAGTCATTTCCACATATAATATTTATTTTTATAACCAAGATCTAAGGGTTGGGTCACTAATCACGAAGTGAGAAAGGACTGTCAACCTTAGATTATGGATAATGACAACAGTTTCAAGGACCTAAGGTTCACAGTGGTAAGTGAAACAGTCAAAGCCTGGCTACTCTGTCCCTCATCCCCTAGTGCTCCTCTTTCCCACCCTACTCCATGTAGGCAGCAGATGCCTGGTCCCCTGTACCTCTCCAGTGTCTGGCACAGAGCATGGCTTGTGTTCATCACAGTATTGGTCAGCAAAACAGTCACATGACATGTGGGGCATGCTCAGAGTACCAGATCACTGAGAAATTGAGGCATAAACATGATAAAATTGTATAAGATAAATATAATACAAATAGAGAATGTTTCCCATTAGAAAATACAGAGGAGCAGGGCTTGCTGACTCAGCACAATGCAAGGCTCTGAATAATGAATAAATGCCTCCTTCGACAGAAACTAAACCTACTTTTTCTTTTCCTACATACGACTTTTCAAAAGGCAATTCACTTGACTGATGTGCATACACCAAAGGCAAGCCCTCTAATAAGAAATACACAAGATGCATTGCACAAATATTAGTCAGAAACATCAGGAGAAATGGTAAATGAAAAAAAAAAAAAAATTGGGTGCTATTTGTGAAGCCTGCCACCTGGTGGATCCGCCTAGCTACAGCAAGAGCTCTATGAGCTACAGCAACCCGACGAATGAATGAGAGACCTCTTAAGAAAGTCAGTGAATGCTGTCTGTAAAAACAGTAGCAACAGAAACAAAGCAAGCAGACTGCTAGATGTCCAGTTAATTCACTTTTACTTGAAACTCTTTTTGTTATTAGTGTACAGTGGGAGGGAAATGATTTTAAGCTGGCTGCACTGAGTACAATAGCTAAAGTCAGGCTATCAACGTCTCCATCTGGCTTTGTCAGTTAATTAGCTGGTCTCAGGATAATTCACTGAGGACCACTGTTTCTGTCTGATGATATTTCTGCATCCTTTGTGTCATGGGCCCTGACTCTCCTCCTCCATCCTAGCTCTAGCCTGTTTGCACACTTTACCCCTACACGAACCAAGGCTTCCACCCACTCAGCTGGCTGAGTCTTGACTTGAGACGCACCCACCCACTTCCCATTTTCACTCCTACTCATGCAGCCTAGCCTAGCCTGAATCTACTTGTCCATGTACTAAATCTCTGGCCATCTTTCAAGGCCTGCACAGATTACCCCCACTTCTCCTGTGCTCTTTCATAGATGCTGGTGGAGCACCATCTTTCTCTCTTCTGAGCCTCTGCCATGTTTACAGTCTGTTCCTTATGCTTAGCACTTTGATTAAAGCCTGGTGTTGCCACTGCTTCCTGCTGTGAGCATTAGACTCTGAGGTGCTGGTAATTAGATGCAAGTGCTGGAGCAGTGTGTGGTAGGCGTTGAAAGCACAGCCTCTGAATCACACTGCCTGGATGGAGACCATCCTCCTAGCAGATGGTTGTGGCTGCCTTGTTCATGTTTCTCTACTTTGGTTTTTGTGTCTGGAAAATGGGGACACTTCCATCTATAGCATCTACCTCAGAGAATAACCGAGGGTTACATGAGTATGTATAAAACACAGCAGAGTCTGGCAGGTGCCAAGTACTCTTGCTTCATTAGCTATGTATGTGTATGGGTGCTAGTGTTGGGTAGGATCATGTGTGTATGGGGTAACCATGTGAGGTCAGAAGCCACCCTTGGATGGTTTTTCTCAGATGCTGTCTACCTTGCTCTTTGATGCAAGATCTGGAAATTCTCCAAGTAGGCTAACCTGACTGGCCAGCAAAACCAGAGATCTTCCTGTCTCTGCTTCCCCAGTGGTGAGACTACAGGTACCACTGTACCCAGATGTTTCCTCCATGTTTCTAGATCAATGGTTCTCAACCTCTGGATTTGTGACCCATTTGGGAGTCACACATCAGATAGTTACATTAAGATTCATAACAGTAGCCAAGATTACAGTTTTGAAGTAGCAACAAAATAATTTTGTGGTCAGAGGGTCACAGCATTAGGGAAGGTTGAGAACCACTGTTCTAGAGAACCAAACTCAAGTCCCATGCTTGCCAGGAAAGTACTTTACAAAATGAACTATTAACCTCAGCTCCCTATATTACCTACATTCCTGTGTTGTTTTTGTTTTTACATGACTCTCATAGTATTTAGCCCAAAGCTCTGGATAGATCAGTGTCTTCACAGATATGGGGGGATGACAGTCACACCATTTGGTTGTCTCCACTCCATAATTGAGAAGCTTCCCAGAGTTCATGGGAAGAAAGTTACTGAACCAAGTGCTGTTGAGGCCTAGAGATTCTCTGATGCATCAGGAATTTAAACAAAGCAATCTGGCTGGTCAGAAAGTTTCCTAATTGCAGAGGGTAAGCCTGACATGTTATCATTTGAGCAAGGGCTGTAACTAGGACAATATGGTCTCCATCTACAACTGAAGGGCAAAGAAAGACCATCAAGATCTTTTAGAAAGATTTATGCTGTCCTGTCATTGAGTTCTTCTTGAAGGGAAGGTCTAAGGAAACTGAATGGAGGCCATATCATCCACTCATCCTATCCCATGAGTCTACTCTACTGACTGCTTTTGGACTGGTCTCCCTGTCCATGTAAGCTGCTGGAGCTTCCATAGCAGGTCTGCTTTGAAGCTGTAGGGGAAAATGAAAACAAACATGCAGCAACAGAAAGTAGAAAATTCTTCCAGTGTCCTCAGTGCAAAAGACATACGTAGTTCATTTTAGTTCATATGATTACACAGCCCTACAAGTGATCTTTCCATTGTTTTCTAAGGATGCCACCAGATGCTTAGTAAGTATAAAAGACCATGGAGATGACAGCCAAGAATACTAAACAGAGCTGCCTCCCTATGTGAAGTCAGCCGCAGCACATAGGAGCCCATTGCCGAGGCTAGTCACTTGACGCTTTTTGTTCACAAATTGCTGGTTAAATTTGGAAGAAAGCTACATGATTACACAGTTCACTGGGATGATAATTAAATCCCTTGTATCCTCTTTGTTTCATTACACTAGTTACTGCTCTTGAGTGCTTCCTTTATGAGCAGAGGCAGGATCTGCTGCTTGGATGGGTGACAGAGCATACTGTAGCTTCAGAGGGTGCCAAGGCATGGTACACTCCATCATGCTTGCACTCTTTTGGTGGCCCACAGTGACAGAGTTGTAGGTTGTAGAAGGTGACCAGGTGACCATACACTAAAATTTCACACAAGGGACCAGCTGATTCAATAAAGACATTTCCAATTTCATAGAAGCAAGGATATTTGGAGATCCAAAATCACATTAAGATACAAAATAAATTCAGCTTAGTTTTTCTTCTTCCATAAATTTCTGTATGCTATGAAGTAAACACAGGCTGAGAAAGGAGGTATTTTGCACCTAGCATACTACTGTTATGAAGAATGCAAGGGAACTATGCTGGTTAATTTTTTTCTTATCAATTTGACAAAAACTAGGGTAATCTAGGAAGAGGAAACCTCAACTGAAAAAAATGCCCCCATAAGATTGGCCTGTGGGAGATTTTCTTGATTGATTGACTGATGTGGGAGGGCAGGGCCTAGTTGGGCAGTGCCTCTTGTGGGCAGGTGGTCTTGGGGCATATACAAATGAAGGCTGAAGAAGCCATGAAGTACAAGTTAGTAAGCAGTGTTCCTCCATGGCCTCAAGTGTGGTTTATGCCCTTACATCTCCCATAATGGATTGTAAACTCAAAGCTGAAAGAAACCCTTTCACCCCAAGTAGCTTTTGATGGTCTTTATCACAGCAATAGGAAAGCAAACTAAGACAATAAGACAATTCCCATTTAAATTTCTTTAACTTAAAAAAAAAATCATGGCAGTGAGGCACCACCTGGATGAATGGCAACTGAGAGAATTATTCTCCAATGCCAGGGAACCTTGACTGTAGAGAGCTGCTTCCAGCAGTCTCCACAAAACTAAATGACTCACTGGATATAGAAGACAAACTCTACTTTCATTCCAGGCTCTCATCCACAAAACAGGGGACCACAGGATCAAAGACTGGGGGTGAAGTGCCTATTGAGACTCCAAAATCTGTGTTTTTTCTTGACTTTGTGGTCTAAGACAGTTTTCACAGCCAGGATCTCAAAGTCTGGGGTTCTACTCCACCTCTGATCTCTGGGATGCTTTATTGGGAATGTTATCCTGCCCTTGTTAAAGAATTTAAAAGGAAGGACTGCTGCATCAAACTGACATAGTTGAACCAGAATAAGCTATGTGGTCCTGTCATGCTGGACATAATAGGAAGACACTGTAGTTCATTTTAACTCTATAAACCTACTGAGCCCTAAACCCAAGGCCAATTTTGTAATTAATAATGTAAATTGATCGAGAGCAATAACTTTTTATCTACTAGCTCACTCTGGACCTTAAGGCACATAGACTATTGCTTCTGGACCCTGGACCAGACTCTAAATAGTGTGAGTCTAGGGAAGGACAGGAACAGCAGGAGGAAAGGCATTTAAATGCACCCGTTTTCAAAAGACTTCCACACCCACTCTTCTGCTAGTGCCTTCAAATTCCTCATTTTCTTTCAAGTTCCACGTCAGTGTCACTCCCCTGGCATGCCTCTCTTTACTCTTAGAATGTTCTCTCCAACAGCACAATGTTCCTCTTTATGCTCAGCCTGGGATAATTAAGTTGTTTTTCTCATATACATGTCCTGTACTTTCTGAGAGCAAAGAACATCCCTTATTCCCTGTATCAACAATATTTATGAGATCTCAAATGTTATTTAAACCATTCATAGGGGTTTACAGTTGTACACATTTATCCCCTGTCTCCCTAATGGGTTTTTTTGATGCTCAAATCTCTCTGGCTGGTCAAAAAAAATGTGTAAGGAAAGGACTATGATTCTCATCTCAGATAAAGCAGCCTTTTCTAGAGAAAATTTAAAAATCAAATTCAAGTTCAGCTAATTTTGTATCTTTGAGTTTGTCTTCTGGAGTTTGCATGTAGCGAATCAAGACTCTCAGAAGACCTGCCTGAGTGGAGAAATGTGCACGCTGCTCTCCATTTATATTCCTGTTCTCTGGGATCTGATTGCCACAGGCTCTATTTGATGCTCCTTTTAAGTAAGAACTGATCCCCATGGAAACTTAACTTAGATTTGTGTGTGAGCAGGGGAGGAGCCTCGTGACTGCTAGGGCCATCCTTCCACCCATCATTTAGAGTACATGTAAATACATCGAAAGTTCTATCTTTAAGTGGAGTGCCAGCCCTTAAACAAAACCTTTAGATGCACCTTCACAGTTAGATAGTACTTTGTCTCCTCTTATACTAGAATAATGTCATCTGAGGGTCACCCGTAGAACTGGTGGTTCCCACATGGACTCTATAGAATTCATGTTCTGTGTGATTGGTAGTAAGAAACAAATGCAGGTAATAAGAGTGCAGGTTCAAGGGCACCTTTCCACAGCACAGAACCAGGACACTCTTAATAGTTTTCCCTCCTATCAGACTAGACTACTACATCTGGACCCTCCCACTGGTGGAGACTGACTCCAGGCCACACCACAGGAATCCTGATCTCACTATGCTGATTCCTTGGGGTTACCTACTGCCTCTACATGGCCAGGACATGGGAAAAAAGTACCTTCAGCAGAAGCTCGATGACTTCAGTGTGGACGAGTCCATGTACCGGCTCTCCATTGATGTGTGTGATGAGATCCCCAGCCTTCAGGCCTGCCTGGTGTGCGGGACTTCCTTCTTCTACATTCTACATAGAGTTCAAGAGGAGAGTACATATTCGTAAGCAAACAAATGACAACCCCAACACCTACTGTTTCTTCTGTTAGGAGATTATGAGTCACCTTGTGAATGGTCCTAAGAACTAATAGGAGCTTCAAAAAGGCATGAGTCCTGCTCTAATACTGTTCTAAAACAGGGCAATTCCCATGTTTCCTTAAAACACCCTCAAGTGAGCAGGAATGTGATTTTTGAAAAGTAAATCTAGGGGGGGAAAGGAGAAATGTAAAGGATAGGGCTGAAGAGATGCCCCCCCCCCCCAGTTAAGAGAATGACTCCTACGGAGGATCTGAGTTCAGTTCCCAGAACCCCTGGGACTACTGTCTCTTAATTCCAGCTCTGGGGTAGCTAAAGCCTTTTGCCCCTGAATGCATTTATACTCAGACATACTGTAATTAAAAATAAAATAACCTCTATTTTCTTAAGGACAATAAAGGGTTATAAAGAACATAAAGGGTCTCTATGGCTCCAAAGCTACACAGAGAAACCCTGTCTTGAAAAACCAAAAAAAAAAAAAAAAAAGGTCTCTATGTTCACCAGATTGGTACATAAGAACGGGCAAGCAATTACAGAAAGGGGGCAGAGTTAAGAAAATCGACTAGCTGGGGATATGCCAAATTCTACCACAGAAAAGAACACCAAAAGGAAAAGAAAATGGGTCCCACGGTGCTACAGGAACACACAACACGCCAGCGTCTACTACACTTTGGACCACGGGTACCCACTCTGGGCTGGTTGGAAAGGAAAATGGACAAGAATGAAGCTTTCCTCTTACCCAGACAATGTGGTGCACGGTGTAGATGTCACTGTCTCCCACATACACGCGGATGGCTCGGATGGTAAATCCATAGTTCTTCCCTGAACTGTGGATAACAATGGGCTGGTGGGGACTGGCAGAAGCTGCTGAAGAATCTCTGCTGGGAGAAGAATCCCGTGAGGAAGAAGGGTCTGAAGACAGGGAGTGCGGGGACATGGGACTTCCCAATGGAGACACAGCAAACATATCTGCAACAAAGAAGCCAGCGTCAAAGTGCAGGCAGGGCACAGCCAACCTTCCCCTGGGGAGCCCCACCACAACCAGGAAGACAAAGAGTGGTCATAAAACAAATCCCTTTGTTTCCAATGGCAAAGGAAGAACTACACAGAGGAAATGCTTATGTTGGTAACTGGTTTTGGTGCGAAACTCAAGCCCATTGAGGGAACATTAAAAGGATTTCTTGTTTAATGTTTCAATAAATATTCTAAAATTAAGAATTTTTGGTTTTTCTATACAGAGTTTTCTGGTTGTGGATTCTTAAGATTATTTCAGTGAACTAAATCCTTTACAGATGCATGTATTCATAATGTTTGTTTACAAGAGGAGACTAAGTGTATAAAGAGATAGTCTTCTCCAAATCTTACATTAAACAATTTAACCTGATTTTCCAAATGCACATGGCAGGAAAACAGTGATTGATCACCAGCAGCTTTCTGCAATGTTGCTGAGCTAGTACTTATTAACACATTTAATTGAGAAACTTGACTACAAAAGAACCACTGCAGTTGTAACTGCTCCTCCTCACATAGCGGCTTCAAAAAATAATGTTTCCTCAAGGGTAAGGAAGGTCACATACATGTTAGGAGCAAAGCAGTTCATGTCCCCGAGTACTTTCTCTGCTCTGTTGCAGAAGCAAACTTCTGCTTTTGAGCATTTGTATTCTCCAGGGCTCAGAAACTGAAACTTTACCCCCAAGGTAATGGTATTTGGAGGAACATTTGGAAAATAATTAGATAATGAGGACTGTCTCTGGTGGTGGGGTTAGTGTGTTTCTGAAAAAGGCCTGAAGCCTTTAAGAGATGCCATCTATGTGGAACCAGACACCAGAGGCCTTGACTGGGCATCTTTGCCTGTACAGCCATGAACAATAGATTCTTATTATCTGAGCATAAGGTATTATATTATAGTAGCCAGAGAAAATTAAGATGTAAGCTCACTGTTCTATGTGAATGCATGTGGATCTTAATTAATCATGAAATTGTGTGTGTGTGTGTGTGTGTGTGTGTGTGTGTGTGTGTGTGTGTGTGTGTTCTGAGAAGACATAACCATCTACAAAGCATGCTGAGATTTGAATGTGAACTTGGTTGGAATAAGGAAATAAGGTGCTACTGGAGACTCAGAGGGTCATGGCAAGACCTAATGTGGTCACAGTAAGATGAAGGCATTTACTAGATGTACTCTGAGTCTTCAGTCATCCACATAAGAGTAAAGCTAAGTATTAATGCGAGTGTTCTTTGACTCTGACTTTATGTGGAACATTGATTCTCTTTACAGATACTTGTCTGTCTAACCCAAAGGCCAGGTAAAAAGAGGTCATTGTTGGATGGGGACCTTCATGACATGTGAGAGGGGGACAGATCAGACACTGAAGGCTCAGACTGTGAGAAGGTCAGGATCCCTCTTCTTGGCCACATGGTGGTCTCCCTTTCCTCTACAAATGGTGTAACTTCCCGCTTTTTCCAAAGAACATGCTACTTCACCTGCTTGTACAGATGGGCTAGGCTGCACTGAACTGCCCCTTCCTTGTTACACACGGGCACTGCAGCCACCTTTGAAATATGCATGGCCATATAGCCAACAGGGATAGGTGTTGGCCCTGTGGGGTCAATGGGATGTTTTCTAGCAAAGGAATTTGCATTATGCTTTTAAGAGCATTTGCTTCTATCAATTTTTGCACAATTGTGAAATATTAAAATAGTAAGCCATCTCTTTTATACATAGTGTATTCTGCCCAATGCATGCCACCCATAAAAGAATTCAGTTTCTAGTTCTACTCTCTCTCTCTCACTGAGTGATGTCATGACCACCAGTGTATATATTTCATCTCTGCCAGGGATGACTTACAGATCAGTAGATGCAAAACCAAGTCATAGGAAAACATAGCAATCCAACAAAACCATAATTAAGTATGGTTTTCTAAAACGGCATAGATTAAGCTGCCTTCTAGCTGGAGAAAGTGAAGCTCAGTCCACAAGATTGGGAAAACATCTTATTTCAGTGCCTCCTGTGAAGAAATTCTCTGCCATCTCCAAAAATGCAAAGCTTACATTCTGTGTCTGTTTCCTCATTAATTAGATGATACAAAGCGTACCTAGCTTTCCAACACATGAGCTGTAAACAGCTCTGTGAAGTACACACACAGCACGTGGTCTACAGCAGAATTATCCCTGGGAGGGAAATTCATTATTTAGCTCATGGGGGAGAAGAAAAAGGTTTTAAGAAAACAAATGAAATACACTTTCATGGGAAGAAAACTTCTCCCTTTTGATCCCCAGATACAGAAGGTAAACTGAGACACATATGCACATGCTGTCTGGGTGCCCCTGAGGTCCTCAAGGGGGAAATTCACAGGCATGTTGGGCAGAAGCTCTTGAGAGCTGTCCTCAGATCCCACCCTTGATTGCCTCATGCGATCTTGCATTTCAATCCAATCCGCATTCCAGGTTGAGGGAGGAGGGTGAGAAGCGCATGCACAAATCACACAATTTCATGCGAGTTGATGTCTCTCTACCTCCTGGGATCATGAGGGACAGAGCACTGGCAGAGAGGGACTTTGTGACTTTCCCCGAAATTTTCTTTTTCTCTGTGCTTTCTAATCGCTGCCGTGCCATGTGAGAAGTGGGTTCACTGGATGGCTTTGAGGTGTTATCTGCACTGTCCACACACTCGCTTCGACCATTTATCTGATCCAAGTGCTCTGAAAAACTGCCAACTGTACAAAGAAGAAGGAATAAACATATTCAGGGAAAGTTAGGACAGGAGAAGTGGAGATGGGAATAGAGGCTGGACTGACACCGGGAGGGACTTCCACGTGGCTCCTAGGTCCAAATGTGCCAGGCTGAATGTGGAAAACAAGTGGCTTGAGAGTGATGCTATGGAGGACAAAGAGATGGAGGAGCTATCTATTCAGGCTTCACTCTCCTGTACACAGGCAAGTTCTTTTTTTGTTTTTGTTTTTGTTTTTGTTTTGTTTTTGAGACATGGTTTCTCTGTATAGCTTTGGAGCCTATCCTGGCAATCACTCTGGAGACCAGGTTGGCCTCAAACTCACAGATATCTGCCTGCCTCCACCTCCTGAGTGCTGGGATTAAAGGCATGCACCACCAACACCCAGCTCACAGGCAAGTTCTTAATGATTCCATTTAATCAGGAGGATAGCTTTCTGTAATCTACATTTCAGAACCCTCTGACAGTCTCCTCCTATGGGCCTTCAAGGAGATAATCTTATAAACCCACTAACCTCCCCCTCATACTGATACTAGTGATTATCATGAATGCTGCTAATCATTGTGACACAGGGACACCATTTAATCATTCTGTAGACCATGTCCGTTTCACCTCCTCTCCACTTCCCAAGAGAACACGGACCCAGGTATGTACGTCATAGAAAGAGTCAAAATGTCCCTTCATTCCTACCACACCTGTTTTCACTCCAAGCCTTTTGTAAGTTTCAAAGGGCAAGATACAAGATACCGCTCGCTCACCACATTACTTAGTCACAAACTCCATCTTCCCGGCTTTCAATCTAGACTATGTCATGTGCTGGTCCTCCCAGCAGCATCCTCTATCCCATCTAAGACACACTTTTCTCTGAAGTTTTTTAACCTCTAATATACAGTGGGGTTACTCTTAAGTTAAAACATTAGGACTTTGCATAAGAATAGAAACATGTTGGAGGGGGTTGAGATGGATAGTTGCAGAGGTGGAGAATGAGGGAAACATGATGCATCCCTGAGAGACAGACTGAGCAGTGACTCACATTACTCTCTATTCGCCAAGCTAAAAAGTCTTCTGGTTTCAAAATCACTGATCACACTTTAACATTTCTGTCTAGATCTCACAAATATCTCAAATTCTATGCTTTCAACATACAACATAAAATTCTATATTCTAAACCGTCTGTGTACAAAACTCATTAATGCCATTTTCATAGATCTGTAAAGCATGTATGGCATGTAATACCATTGCAAATGATTTTCTGAATCACTAGCCAACTCATTTTAAAATGCTGACCACAGAGCATTCTCTGTGTGGAAAAGAGTTGTCCTAAATGACACACACCCCACTCAACTGCACAGCTCTTGTCTGGCCCTGGTTTGTGGAGTCCCGGAATGCAATATAGGTAGATGTGGATACAGCACACTTCATAGCCGTTCACTGTGCTGTGCAAGCAAGAAAGGTTCTTGGCCTTCTACAATAACACCCACTGGACCAACGGAATAAGGAAATCCTAAGGCAGATATCAAAGGACTTTCACTTCTTTGGAAGCACACTCTCATCTACTAGTACATCTACTCTGCTCCCTCAAAGAAAGAGGTTGCTTGGAGGACTTGATCAAAGCTGTTTCACCAGCCAGACATTTCTCCTCTCTCAACTGAAGCTTAGCCCCAGATGAGTCACTTCCTTTCTGAGTGGGTTCAGGTGGGAGGAGTGAAAAGTAAAAAGTGCAAACAAAAAGCTGTGTCTTTTTACAATGAATAATTTGTTGGGAGCATCTGAGCATCGCAGATATGATTTCACAACTGTTACTTCTCAAGGGCTCAAGTACAATGTAGTCAAGGAGAAAAGTGAAACAGACACCAACTTGTGCTTTCCCAAATGTCAGGATGGATGCACAATATTTTCTCCTCTGATCCCTCCCGCTTCCTTCCCCGACCTCATTTCACAGCACTGTGCATAAGCAAGTGCCTCTTTCTGCCAATGGCAGGGAATGTCACAATGCATTTCACAGCACTGTGCATAAGCAAGTGCCTCTTTCTGCCAATGGCAGGTAATGTCACCTTAACACTCTCTAAATGTCAAGGGTTCCTTCCTTTTGATGGTGGAGCAATATAAAATTCAACAAATTGAATTTTACTGCAGCCACGCTTTTCAGGTTCCTTAATTACCCCTGGCTGTAAGCAAATCAACTCTCATCTCTCTATTCTGTGCAGCCCCCAAGGTCTTTGATTATTTTTTTAGTGTGTGTATGGGGGAGACAGGGTGAGAAAAGGTGGGTTGACACTATTAATCAAAATGCATGGCAGGACCTCAGCAGATATTTTTAATTATGAAAGTAATCAATCAAGTACTTAGACAATACTCCTCCCCTTCCCCTTCACCTCCTACCTTTCTGATAGTGACTAGGTTCAGGATTCTAGGATATGGTAAACAAGAACTTTTAAATGGAGGTGAGTAGACTCTATATTGATGGGAAGGCAATGAAGAACCAGACAGAGACCCCTATAACCAGGAATATAAAATACTGAGCCCCCTATATTTGATATGAATATTAAGAGACACATGGCCAGGAGGCTTAGAGTAATAAGATGTCCCTGTACTAATTTTACAGTGCTTTTATCTTAACTTCATAGTTAGAGTCAGTGGGATTGCCCAGCACAGAAACAGAACTGACATGTAAAAAGAAAAAAAAAAAAAACCCAGTATTAGTTTCCCAGGTCAACTATAAGCATGTTTGAAGTGCCATAGATCCAAACATTTTGGGGAGTCTGAAATCTAATTTGAAAGACTTTTACAAATGTGTTTAAATAAATAAATAGATAAATAAATAAATAAACCTTTCACTATAAGCATTCAGTTTTATAATGTCAATGGAAACTCTTGGAATCATTTATGCTTATTAGTGTAGCATATTAAATATGGCATAATGAAAACATTCATTACAGCCACTATAAGTCAGAGCATAAACTCGCCCTGCTTTGCAGAAGGATCGGCCTTTATAAGCCAAATGAAGTCATAAACACATCTAAATGGCATGTTCTGAGGGAAGTAAGCTGAAATCTGGTCCTGTAAGGAAAGCACCTCCCCAGTTAAGGGCCAGGAAGCAGTGATGAGATATTAAAGACTTTAAATGCTTCTGAAGGTAATGTTCCTGATGACTGGAAACTTATTCCACACAAAGGTATACAAGTGCTGCCAAAGAGAAGCCCAGACACTGGACTTCACCCCATCAAGCAGAGAAACTTCAGGAATGTCCTGGCTCTGTTTGGCCAAGACTGACAAGTGTCAACTACTTGTAGAGGTGTTGTTTTCTATGCAATTAGACACCAGGGGAGACCTGGTGGGATTTCTCACTACCCTCACAGGTGTCCTGTGAACCCCACTGTATAAGTACTTTGCTACAGTCAGTGTGAGGTTAGTGGCCAGGGACTGGTACAACAAGGTATGTCTGGTACTACATGTCCCAGTAACAGGATTTAACTCCTTCAAAGATGCTACCAAGGAGCTCAGGGCTGGAGGAAAAGCTAGCTTCATACTTCATCTTACAGCTGACGACAATGGGTTGGTCTGTGTGACACTGCACCTCACTCTAAGTTAGATGCAGTTGTACAACTTGTGCCTTTGCATCAGCAGCCATGGATATGCTCCTTTGGCAGGGTCTGCCTGCCACCGGAGGACTCCCCTAAAGCTGGCAGTATAAGTGCCCCCAAGGTCCAGATGAAGCCCAGTCCCCCTGCTGTATGGTTTGGCATTGAGGCTGCAGCTGAGTCGGCTGACCTCAGTTCTTAGGAGCTTGTCCCTAAGGATATGGGGCCACAGGATAAGTCTAGGAGGAGAGAGACACTGAGGGTCCGGTTGGGTAAGGCCTTGCTTATAGCCCCTGCGCAGCATGGTACCTGGGCAGAGCGGGCACTGCCACCACTTACCCGACAGTGTGGAACTGCTGATGGTGCTGGCTGGTGTGGTGACCTCGGGCTCCTCCTGAGTACACTCCTCAGGAGGGAGGACTGGTTTTTCTGGCTCCTCTCTGGGGTCTCCAGAGCAAGGGACAGCTTCATCTTGTTCTCCCTCTGCTGAGATAGCCAGTTTGGGAAGCAGGCCAGAACTGAGTTTGCATCTGTTGCTTTCAGTATCTGAAGAGTTGGATGTTGACAACTGTTGCCTTAATTAAAAATAAGAACAAGTCACATATAAAGCCCAGGAAACCATTAAGGGCAAAGGCTTGAAGAAACCAGGTAAACCAATGTATGTCTAGGGCAATGGTTCTGATGATATGGTACCCAGTGTCAGCTCAAGCAGGGGACACAGGAGGAATACTTGTGTCTGAGATCTACTGTACTGGGAACTCTGGAGGCAGGTCTTCTAAGACACACTGCTTGTTTGGGCCCTGGGAGGCATCTCACGTACATTTCTGAGTACTCGGAGCTCCAGCTGAGTGTCTCCGTGGATGGCAGAGTTGTGCTTTTGGTTTTGTCCTCGATATCTTCTTTGTCCTCTCCTGAATTCGGAGTTATTTGGTCTATACTGCTGAACACCTGAGAGGAAAATGATCATTGCTTAGGAACTACATCTAAAAAGAGCTTGTCAGAAAGAGGCAAAGAAAAAATTAAAAACCAAAAGTGTCTGATGGCCACAAGTCTGGAGCAGGAAGGGAAGAAACAATCTGAAATTGACTGTGAGTAGATTAGTGACAATTAGTTTTAGTACTTAGAGTGGGTGGGTTCTGTGGAAGGAGAACAGTAACCACCAGGTGTGCTTGCTTGACCTATAAGTCAGTCAGGCAGCAGCTGGTGCAGGAGGCTAGTGCTTAGGCAAACAGGTCTATTTTTGCCCATTTCTGAGTCTCTACTCTCTCATAGGAAATACAGGAGGAAATGGGAGTATGGAGAGCCCAGTATGGCGAGTGCCCTTACCCTCCAGCTCTTTACTGTTCTCATGGAAACGGGCTGTGGGCCCAGCACTATCTATAGAGTTAGAAAAGGGTTAGGTTAAAGAATGGGCACTGGAAAAATAAAATACCTTCCAAAGTAAAGAGGCAAACTGTTTAAGGTGGGTTCTGAGAGGCAAGAGGATGGTTAGCCCATTAAGTGGAGTTAAACTTGCTTCAGGACACACTCGCCACAAGTCTCCAGGGAAATCCCTACTCCTATGTTGTTCCTATAAACAGAGATGAGTAGCACAGGGCTGATTTGCAGATGCATTCTGGGTAATCACTTAGGAAAATGTACAGAGCACTTTAAAATCATGAATTGCTATAGACTTCCTAAATAACAATCATGCAAAATGCCATGGCAACCACAAATATGCAGCAACCGAAAATAGCAGGAAGGAGGTAGGGTGCCCTCTGGGCTCATTTCCATTTTGCCGGGGTTCCCACCCTACCCCAAAACATCAGTTTTGTTTTCAAATCTTACCTGAATTTATCAAAAGGCATTTTTCTTAATGATCAATTTTATTATCCGACGCCTTTTCTAAAATTCTAGAGTGGCCTTCTACTGCCTTTCAATACAGCTTATAACCTTTATTAATTACTGACAATAATTCTTTCTTATCCCACAGCCAACTGTCTCCAGGTACCCTGGCCCATGTCAAGAGCTGAACGTTACTCCTGTGTTGTGCTCTGTCACAATGAGGGAGATCTCGTCACACCTTGAAGCCTACTTCCTTCCTTCCTTCCTTTCTTCCTTTCTCTCTCTTTCTTTCTTTCCTTCTGTTTCTTTCTTTCTTTCTTTCTTTCTTTCTTTCTTTCTTTCTTTCTACAGAACACCTCAATTTAATTTATTTATTTATTTTTCTACTTTATTTTTTTATTTGAATTAGAAACAAGATTGTTTTACATGTTAATCCCAGTTCCCACTCCCTCCCCTCATCCCCTACCACCCTCCTCCCAACTAAAACCCTACCTATCACATATCCTTTCTGCTTCCCATGGAGGGTGAGGCCTTTCACAGGGTGTCATCAGAGTCTATCATATCCTTTGGGATAGGGCCTAGGCCTACCCTGTGTGTCTTGGCTCAGGGAGTCTCCCTGGATGGCCTACACTCTTTCTTACATGACAAAAGAAGTGGGGTGAGGCCTCCACAGCCTAGCTCTCAGCTAGACCTTCGGGCAGACAAGCAAGTTCATCAGATAGCAACTATCATGAAACCGTGGCGATCCAGTCTTTTCAAGTCTTTGCTTCAAAACAAAGCAAACAGTAACAGCAAGCTCCCAAAGTCAGACCTTAATTTCTAGAGACACACAGATATGTCTACAGGGGAGAAAACCCCCCTGCTCATCAAGAAAATAAGACCATTTTCCCCACTTGACTGGGAAGGAGTTGTAAGTGCCCAAGACCCCACACCGCACAAAAGGGCAGATGTGTTCAGAGTCTAATCCAGCCAGCTGGGCGCCAGCCACTGGAGATCCAGATTCTGCATGCTGATGCCTCACTTACTTTTGAAAACCTGTGTGAGCAGGAGGAAAACTGCCGTATCTCCACAGTGAAGTCCTCATCATTGGTGTCATCTTCCTCCTCCGTTTCCATGTGATGATACTTCTCTGACCGAGCTGCAGAGGAATGTTTTTGGGACAGTTGGGTTACTCAGAGAATTTCAGTGTTTAATAGAGACCACTTCACTAAGAGTTATCTGGAGCAAAGTGGCACTGCGCTTTCTAGAATTTGTGGGTATGAGATCGGAAAGCTCAGAATTGGAGATGAAATGTTTTTATATCGAGTAAAGGCCAAGGGATGTCAGATAATGCACATACTATCAAAATAACTTGTGTCATCCTCCGATTCCAGTTGGGGAATAAATTCCGCCTTCTGTCTCAGCAAACTGTTCCAGTCCAAGGAGCGGAAGAAGCGATGCTGCTTCACTTCGTAGGCACCACCTGGAAGGGAGCAGAGCGAGGCAGACATGAGAGGCTGCACCATCCTTCGAGCAAAAGGAAGCCCCAAGCCTCACAAAACGTTTAAAATATTTATTAGCAGAGAAATAAAAGAAGCCATGAAATCCATAACTCCTACCCCCTTCTACAACCAAAACTTGGAAAAGAAATTCCTATAATTTATCAGCAGGAAATCTGATTTTGCTAACAGCAGTTGCTACAGCACAGCTTTTCTCTGTTAGTTTTTCTACGACTTTTCCATTTTTCAAAGGTTAATGACATGGCCACTTAAAATCACATTATACTGAACCTGGGGACATGGACACATGTTGGCCCAAAGCAGAATGGCTCATTACAAACCCAGAAAATCCTAACAAGGTGCAAAAATGTGCTTACGGCAAGATTCCTTGTGGAGGGGAGGTTAATGATGAATTTTTCCTAAATATTATATCATGGTTACCTTTCAGTTTTATCGGATTGCTCATTAACATAGGTAGGAATTAGATTCTGTGGTTTAGATCCTTCAGTAAGGAACTGACAAACCGATTCCTTATTTATAATTTATATAATTTGGCAGAAATTAGTAACAGCGGCTAAAGTTGAGACTTCTCTTTGCCAGATAATTGTGGTAGCACAGTTTGGTGAGAGGTACTTCTTTATTTGATTATTTTAAACAGGGGCTTTGAAGGGCAAGGCTCATCAAAAATGTACTTACAGTATCCCATTAAAAGAGAGGAAGGTAACAGGTAAGAGTAGAACCCCTTCCTACCCCAGCACACACCCTTTAGATGGGAGAGATAACAAAGACAGGAGCCTGAAAACCACCAGGAAGAATGTCCTCAAAAGACCAACACAGAGGTCCCTCTGATCGGCCTCTCTTTCAAGCTTTCTTTTGGGGGGGCGGTGTAGACGCTTCCCTCTGTGATGGTCACCCATCCCTCTCATCCTGTCTCCTGTGGGTGCAAAAGGGGCAGAAAGGGAAAGGCAAGGGAGATGGAAGATGGGCTGGGGATCTTGCCTGAGGCAGGGCTGCCATTTGTGGTCCAGAGACACAACTCTGTGCCCATGGGATGCCTCTAGCACAAGACACATATCCAGGTGTTCTGAAAACATTGGCATGGAGGGGAAAGAAAAAGGTGAGGTAAATCACCCCAAGGAGAGCAACCAGCTGCTTTTCACAAAGCACAAGGATGGGACTCTTCCAAATCCTGTGCCGGTTCTTTTCTCGGCTGCAAGCTCAATTCCAAGCTGAGAAACCACAGCACCAGAGGCTTCCCGGCTATAATCAGCAGGCCAATTCTGTGCTGAGTATAGAGGTAGACAGAAAGACAGGGAAAAGGAAAGGAGCATGACAGAGGAGGAGTCCCTCAACCCCCAGGTATCTGGTTTATGTTTCTTACTGGCTGAGGATCAAGAATTTCCATATGACTGACAAAACCCAAATTCCTGTTAAACACTCTCTGCAAAGAGAAAATACATCCTTTGCTAGATGTAGCTCAAAAGAGAAAAAAAAAATTAAATATTGCAGCAGCAAACAAATCACACTTAGAGCCAAAACGCATGTCTTAAACACTTACACCCTATGATTTGAACCTTGTTGTGCCTGTCTCTCATCTACAAGTCCAAATAATGCCTCTAATAAGCCGCCCTGTAATTTCATTCATAAAAGGCAATTCTTCTAGAAAAATGAGCAAACCAGCTCATAGTTTCAAAACTTTACTTAATCTTTGAATCTGGTTATAAATTATAGCCCTTGAGCTTGTCTTGCAGAGCCACAAAATCACATAGCTATTGTTAGGACACTTGTATCTTTTTCTTAATGCCTGCACTCCAGTTCTGCCTTTGAGTGGGCACTGTTCTTTCCTTAGTGAAACCCAACTTTGCTTTATGCTATCGTACCCTGAAATTCTTTGCTGCAGTGCAAGTGAGGATTCCATATCCATCTAAGCACTGAGCTCCTGTAAGATTTCCTTAGAAATCCTAAGGTGACATCTGGCCCTGACAGTATTGCATTCAATACTGAAGTTACTGTGTTTCATCTACTTAAATAACAGAAAATACCTCTGGATAGGGTCGGCATTATCAACTCCAGTTTTAGATGGGGAAGCTAAAAAGAAAAGCAACAGAGCATGCTGGGCTGGCTCCCCCTGACAAGAAGGATAAGAAGGCTGCACCTACATCTGTCTGAAAATACGCAGGCCCAGATGCAGTGCCACGGCCTCACCTCTACACAAAGCATCCTGTATTTTAGTTGTTTTCTGCTTCACTCTTTCTCCTGCATGAGTTTGAAATGGAACCACTCTTGCCTAGGCTGGGCAGCTGAGCCAGTTGGCAAGTCTATTCTATGGCACCCCAACATCCCATTCCAGCCCACTGTGCCCCTTGCTTCTCTTTTAGCTCCCAATGAATGTCCTCTTAAACACCTATCAGGGTCATTTTCTTCTAGTGCTCTTTTATTTGGAGGCACAAAACACAAAGGCCGAGAGGGATTGCACAGTTTCCCATCCCACTCCCTCTCCATGGCGATGACCCTGAGATCCAGTGTCAAGCCCTGATGAGTAGCCCATGACAGGCATCTCGGGATACTTAGCCCAGCCATGGTGCTCCATTACCATAACCATCGATGCATCTACTACTCTTGGGGATGTGTCACTGACCTTGCTCTGAAATTCTAGGCTATTTATACCTATCAAATTTTCTAAGGCCAATGACATGCATGGCACTTCCAGATGATACTGCTCCCATCCTCTCCCATCTACCCATCTATGGAATGCAAGCTGATAACTCTGCTTCCTTTCCATGGACAGTGACAAGTGGGTCTTCCCCAGCAAGTCAGAGCCATGGAGGATACAGCTCACAATGTTTTCACATGGACCTTTCTGCCTTACCAGGAAGAGGCAATTATCGGCAGGCTCTGTTTCTCGTATACTCATGGAAACGGGGGAGATGATCTCTGGACTAAACTACTGGTAAAAGTATAGGTGAAAAGTATTGTGAACCATATGCAGATTGTTCATGCATGCAAGAATGAGGGAAATGAAGGGGAAGAAACTGTCTTGATCCCCTGGTGTCCAGCTAGTTCCGTGTACTAAATCCTCACATGAACATCTTGTGTTTAGTACCTGCAATAATCCTGAGACATTCAATATGCCCAATTTTATACACTAGGAAACTGAGGCTGATGACAAGAAAGAGGCTCACAGAACCCTAAGAGCTCACAGTTGATACACACTTGACAGTCATATCTTAACAGCTCTAAGGCTGCCACTCAACTCTCTCCAAGTTCAAGAGTATATATAGCTCCAGTATAGCACAAGGTCCTACACTGAAAGTTCTAGTTCGGCACTCCTGGACACCCTTGAGTCCTCTCCTTTTCTGGAAGCTTCTTAAACATTCATTATGCTCTTTACAGCCTCCCCCCCCCCTTTCCTCATCCTCTCCAGTGTCTCAGGCAAATGTGCATTCCCACATTTTCACGGTGCATTATTTTGCCCGCTAAATATTCGTTGAACACAAGATGCTGTCAATGGAAGCAGCATGGCAGGCCTGCAGGATCTGCAATGTCATTCTCTAGGCCCTACTGGGACCCATCACATCAGCCCTGCTGGTTTGGCAGTCACTTCTTGGCTATTCTAAGAGCTTGAGTAGGACCTTTAAATGTCTCTTTTGGGTTTCTCCTAGGGAATTTTCTCTTCAAACTGTCAGAGACTGACAGCAGCAGCCAATGAGGAGATGTGCAGAGCAATAACTTGCAGCCAATGATATATACACAGGGACCTGCTGGTCGAAGTCTCTGGCCTGTCTTGTTAAGTCAAGCCTAATCAAAGATCCCAGTATTCTTAGAGAAGGGGGAGGGCAGAATATCAAGCAGAGAATCTCCAAACTGGCCCTTGGGGACTGCAGTAAAGGGGACTTTTGTGCTTCCATTGGAGGGGTATATCCATTAAAAGGCATTTTTCAGTCAGTTCATGGGGAATCTAAATAGATATTTGTGCTATCACAGGGCAATGTTGAAATGCAGCTGTTTCTCATATGTGGCAAAACAGAGTCAAAACCTTCCTTTAAGAATCTGCCCCTACATGGTCTTGACACCATTTCTTTGACAGCTACTCTTCCCCCTTGATCCATAGCACAGAGCAGATCTATCTGACAGCAGGTCACAGAAGGAGAGAAATAATGAGTGTGTCTGACAGTTGGGACAAGTGGAAAAGCAGATAGAGTGGAAAGAAATAAACTCATTTCAAGGAAGACAGTGAGGCCCAAGGTAGTCACACCACCACTATACCATGGCCCCTGCTCAAAAGAAAGCTATAGGGTTCAACAGGCAGAAGACCAAATGTAGTACCAGAAGTGTCACACCTAGTTCTAAGAATTGTTCCTCGGTGACCTCCTCATACCTCACACTGATGCTTTATGGGAGAATGAGGAAAGAAAACCTATCCTTGGCCACACAGCCAAAATTTGGATGCTAGCCATCTCACCCCAGTGTGTGCCCTTAACCTACATCTTCATTGCCTTTCCAAGGGAAAGCACACTCATTACCTGAAAAGGGCAGTAAGGTACATGGAACTCCAGCAGGTGCCTCAGTTATTTCCCAGGCCAGTCCACATTTAAGCCTTCCTGGATTTGCTAACAAGGGGTCCACAAAATCTCTATGGAAAAGGCTAAAGCCTCCATATTTAGTCTATTTGGGCTATACAATTTGACTCTGTTGTTATAGCATGAAAGTGGTCACAGATGACACATCTCATGAAAAGACATTGCTATGTTTCTGCTTCAAAATCTTTATTTATAAAAACAGAGAACTGGAAAGATTTGGTATACAGACCATAGTTTTCTGGTCCCTGGTTTAATGTATTATTATGAGCTCTAATGCAATGTAGTGAGTGATTTTCTAAAAATGAAACAGAGAGTCTCATGTAGCTCAGGCTGGCTCTGAATGCACTATGTAGCCAAGGATGATGTTGATCTCCTGATTCTTTTGCCACCACATCCCAAATGCTGTGATTATAGGCTTATGCACTGGGCCTGGCCTTCAGCAGTCCCCATGTGAACAAGAACAAGTCTATAGGAATCTGTGGGTCAATTTGGAGAACACTGGAAATATTTGGAATCATCACAAATGATTGTCATGGGGAAAATGGGGGAGAAAATGATTGCTTCAGTCTTTACTGATATTTCTATTATAATGGAACAGAATGAGCCCATCAAATCAATAATTTTCACAAAAAACTACTATTTACTATCTAGGGTATATGCATTTACATTTAACATTTTTGTTACCCTAAGACAAATTGACCTAGGCAGACCTGATGCTATCCCATAATATATCTAAAGTGTATCTGCCCAGAATGTAGGAGAGGGAAGGGGGGAGGAAGCACATGACTGCTGGCTGTAAACTATGAGGGAAATATCAGCAAGAATAAATGGCCTATCTTTGTCTCTCTTCCAAGGCAATGTTTTAATTCCCTTTCTTGGGTCATGGTTCTGAGCACCACGATAGAACAGCATGGCTCAGCCCCAGGCCCTCATTTATAGTAATCAGTTGGAGACCTGATAACCTATTTCAAAGGCTATGGATAAAAGCCTGCTGGGTCAAATCCTCATGGAATGTACGTTAGAAAACATAACCAAAAAGAGTGCTACATATCTGTTTCCAATCATTTATGATGCACTTTGTCAGGACAAGATTGGCACATGCCCTGGTGATGCATTTATTGAAGCAAATTCAGAATTTCAGCTTTGCAAAACATAAAACAAAAACCACCTACCCATCCTAGTGTATATGCTGTTCTAAATCACACACACACACACACACACACACAACCACCAAGTAATATTGCTCTAATGGGTTGTAGCTAAGTCCTACATCAACTAACAGCTGTTGCCTACACAGAAAATATTCACAAAAGCCTCTGATTGCTCCAGAGAACATTATTTCTTGTATACTGGCAAAAGCAACACACATGTTCTCTAACCTGTTCCCAGCCTCTCCAGTGGGTTCTGCCTGAGAAGCAAGGTAATCAGATCCTGGGCATCTGGAGGAGGGGCCTCATCCTTTTCAGGCCAGTTGATTTCATCTGGAAGGAAGAAAAGTTATCCATAGCTTTATTGCTCAAAGGGTAGTCTAGTTACCCACAGTCCGGGCATCCCCAGGAGGACTGTTAGAAATGCAGAGTCCTGGGCTCCATCCCCAGAACACTGAACCAAAACCTACAATTTAAGATCTTCAGCTGACTTCTACATGGCCAAATTAGGGCAGTATTATTTCACAAGGCACAAACAGCATCGTTTTCTTCAAGTTTAAGATTAGACTATTTTCACAAATAGAACCTATCAATCACTTTTTTTCATTGACAGAATGATCATTTTCTTTTCCCCCCAATGATAGAAATGTCTCCTAACAAGTCACTACTTCTGTTTATTAGGAGGACTTAATAAAACAGAAACTGAGCAGCTCCATGTCAAGTGCCTACCCACCGGGGACCATCCAAGTATAAGATTTTCTCACTAGCCTAAACCGAGAATTTGGTCCTGGCCAGCCAGTTCTTTAGCTCCAAGGAGTACAAGGTTCTTTTACAAAAAGTAATTATTTCTAGAGACAAAAGTACAGTCCAAAATGTTAAGGCTGAAGAAGACAAAAACCCAAGGAAATCATAGTAATGGGAATATTTAAAGGCTGTCAGAGATATTAGACTACATTCTTGCTCTAAAAGAGTTTGCCTGGAGATAGGTATGCGTGCTCGTGTGTTTGGAAATGCAATAAAAACATGAGTTATTTTTGTGTGTGCCTGCCTCTAGCTTCCTCTGCTGCAGTTTAAATCTGATTTGGAAAATAAAACATGAATATGCATCAGAGCCGTAAGGCATCAAGAACAAAGCCAGCATTTGCTGCTTGTGTTAATTAAACAGTTGATTCCCCTTGCCATTCAGGCCTTGGACTGTCAGAAAACAGCCTAGTTATAAATCCATAAACAGCTCAGATATTGTAGAAAGGGCTTTTACACTGCAGGCAATTCAACAAATCTACTTTGTTCAAGTTTACAAATATGTCTGGCTTGTAAAGCCAACGTTAGAAAAATAATAGTAGGATAAAGGGATCTTCATGAGTAAAATAAATTTTCCTCTACTTCCATTGTTGGCTGGCATAAGTGCAGTTCAGGCTGGACCAGAGGTGGCTGATGGGGATTTTGGAGAGGCCTGACAACCTTTCAAGTAGAGAAGCCGTTTCTGTCATCTAATGCAGGGAGAGGGGGTTATAAACTCAGCAGGGAGGGGAAGAATAGCCCCTATTTAATTATCATTTAGGTGTGCCACATGCTGCATGACAATAGTTAGGGTCAGCCTTTAGGTCAAGATCTAAAGGTTATTGAATTTTAAATGAAAGATGAACAGCTGCTATAGAAATAACATTACACATCACAACTACCCAATGAAAGCATTAACAATCTGCGATTCAATTTACTGCCTTCCCATTCCCATTATTTATTATTTGGTAGACATTTGTTTTAGGGTTTATTACATTTTTGTTAATTTCTTCATTGTGCCATTAGCCATTTTTCCCATTTATGTAAATGTTACCCACATTAACCTTTTCTTCCCTGGTGCAACTTTCCTATTATGAAAATGAAGACCGGCTAACAATGAAGGCATTTGTAAATCCCATACCAATTTGTTTTGAAGAAAAAAAAAAAAAACAGTAGACAACTGAAAGTTGGACACACTACTAGCCCATTTCCAAATTCCATGTTAACAAAACTTCCTCAGATCAATTTCAACACACATCACTCTCTTGAGAAGGAGAGTCAGTTGTGTGTTCCGCTAAGTGAGTTCTTCTAATTTGTTGGCGCAAATGTTTGATAAAGGTTAACATTTTAGTGACACACAACAGATTTGCATTAAGTAGCTGCTTCCCAGTAGTGGCTTAGAAATAACTCTTGATGATATTTACCACTGATGACTTGTCCAAATAGCTCTTCTGGAGTGTCCCCAAAGAAAGGCACACATCCAACCAGAAATTCATAGAGGATAATGCCCATGGCCCACCAGTCCACGGGCTTCCCATAGCCCTGTCTCAGAATCACCTCAGGGGCAATGTATTCGGGTGTACCACAGACCTAAAATAAAATTGCAATATTAGAATAATTGGAGTATTAGACATGAACTAAAATGAACAATATGACTAAACAATTATTATGCCTCAAATACACTTGCTCACCCACAAGGAAACATGTGGACAGAGAACTCAAGAACAGATGCTATGTATGACAAGGAACTTAACACATTATGCTTAGTTTCAAATTGCAAACCTAACCTGTGCATAGCTTTATACAATACTAAACACCATTTTTTTATATTGAAAATAATAGTTCATGCTTAAACTGTTACTATTAAAGGTAGTTCAATTATTTACACGACCAAACGCATTCTAACTATGGTTCTATCAGGAAGGCATGGCAGTGGAGATGGGTTTACCTTAAGTAACTTCACAATGAACAGATTGTGGGCACATGGTAATGAGGCATGCTTAAAAGGAAATGGGCCATAGCTCGGATTTTAGCAGCTGAGATTGTGCAATGCATCATGAGTTTCACGAGTACTCTATTGAGACTCCTGAATTCCTTACAAAAACAGTTTTCCATTTGTCTCTCTCACCCTCTCACTTGTGCGCAATTAGACCGTTCATCTTACTAATAGACCTTAATGCTAGGGGAGGAATGTAGAGGGAGCGGACAGTTCAAAGAGGTCCAGGGAGACAAATGGGAGCAGTTTGTACTTTATTAAATGCAAGCCTTATACAGACATCCGAGCACCAGCACTAATGTGGAGATGGCCTACACAGGTGGGCTCTGAATTCACTGGCCGTAGTGAGCTTTATATCTCTCTACAGACAGAGCAGCCTCCAAGCTTACCTGTTTATCCAGGAACTCTCGGGCATCCTTCTCAATGTGACCTTCATAGAGATTGGTGGTCATGCTCATCAGTCCCACCTTAGATAATCCGAAATCGGTCAGCTTTATGTGGCCCATAGAGGTGACCAACAGGCTAGGGGACGGAAGGACAAAGAGCACAACAATCACTTTAATACACATATCACATGTGTATATGCTGTTGTTTTAGGTCTCCCTCTCCCCAACCCCCTTCAGTCTGTACTACATCGACCATATTGCAAAATGAAGCCTGGTAAGAGAGGGAATCATGCATTTGAGAGCTCAGGGCCGGAGCTAAGGCTCTACTCTCTTTGTTGGAGCAATCACATGCAATATTATCATTTTTGCAACACTTAGAGACTCTAACAACATGGAATGCTGATTCCTTTCCATTTTCAGATTTATTTCAGTCTAGGAGCCATACCATCCTGATTGTGCCTGATCTCAGATTTATTTTTAAAGTTATGTCTACATATGTGTGTATGAGGGTAGTGATGTATGCACATGTGAATGAGGGCACATGTGTGAATGGGGGTGGTATGTGCACATGTAAATGATGATACATGTGTGTGTATGAGGGTGGTGGCATGTGCACATGTGAATGAGGGCACATGTGTGAATGGGGGTGGTATGTACACATGTAAATGAGGATACATGTGTGTGTATGAGGGTGGTGGCATGTGCACATGTGAATGAGGGCACATGTGTGTATGGGGGATGGTAAGTGCACATGTGAATGAGGGTACATGTGTGTGCATGAGGGTGCTGATAAGTGCACATGTAAATGAGGGCACATGTGTGTATATGAGGGTGTTGGTATGTGCACATGTGAATGAGGGTACATGTGTGTATGGGGGGATGGTAAGTGTACATGTGAATGAGGGTACATGTGTGTGTATGAGGGTGTTGGTATGTGCACATGTGAATGAGGGCACATGTGTGATGGGGGATGGTAAGTGCACATGTGAATGAGGGCACATGTGTGTATGGGGGTGGTGTGTGCACATGTGAATGAGGGCACATTGTGTATGGGGGATGGTAAGTGCACATGTGAATGAGGGCACATGTGTGTGTATATGAGGGTGTTGGTATGTGCACATGTGAATGAGGGCACATGTGTGTATGGGGGTATTAAGTGCACATGTGAATGAGGGCAAGTGTGTGTATAGGGGTAGTAAGTGCACATGTGAATGAGGGTGCCTATGAGTCCAAAAGAGGGCATGAGAACCCATAAAGCTAGAGGGAGAGGTGGGTGTGAGCCACCTAATGAGGGTGCTGGGAACCAGACTCAGGTCCTCTGCAACATCAGTACTCTTAACCACAGAGCCACCTCTCCAGCCACCTTTTTCCATTTTCAGAATAAGAAAGCAGAGAAGAAATAATCCACCAATCTTAACAACATACACAGAAATTCAGGCAAGCAATCCATTCATGACTAAAATGAGGTACAGATTAAAGAACCTGGAAAGAAAAGTGAAGTTTTTTGTATCTCAACTTCCAGCTTTGATTTGAATTTCAACTTATTAAGCACAAAGCTTGGATTTATTAATTCATGCAAAGAATTTACATTTGAATATATTAATGTATTTCATTATAAGTAAAAAAAACATTATTTCAATTAAAAAGTTAAAGTAATAGAAGATTTTAAAGAGCTACTAGAAGGGACAGGTGGTGATGGTCCACGCCTCTAGCCCATGGGAGGCAGAGGCAGGTGGATCTCTGTGAGTTTGGAGACAGACTGGTTCATATAGTGAGTTCTAGGACAGCCACAAACAGGGCTACTTGAAGGAATTATGCTAAGATTCTAATAGCTGTGAATGAAATTGTTCTTCCTTTCCCTGGGTTTTCCCATTCTTATGATGAGGATGAGCTAGTTTGTCACACACTTTTTAACAAACTGAGCAGCATCTCCCATTAGTGTCGAAAGCATGGAGTAGCCCATACACGATGTCAAGATGAACAGCTAGCCACTTGGGAAAAAACTCTACCCGTATCTCTAATTGGAGCCCAAAATGAACTCCAAACAAAATATGAATGAAATAGAATAACATCATGTATATAACCATGGGAAAGGTATAAGGTCATCTAAATATGATGCCAAATACCAAATGCTCCAGAAGACAGCACTATTCTATGTCACTGGGCAAAGATTTACATGCTAAAAAGGAAATTAACTCCAGCTTTAGAGTCATTTTCCCCTAATTCTCCTAAGTTCTCATTGTAAGCATTGAGGTCTTTCAAAAAAAAAACTATAATAATTACCATTAAGTTACTATTAAAATAACTCATTTTTCATATTAGGAATTTTTGAAATGTACAAGTAGCCTTACAAAACACTTCAGACAAAAGAAAATGTTCGACATTTGTTTCATCAGCACACATACTTGTCTGGCTTTAAATCCCTGTGTACAATTCCATAATTATGCAGATACTCCAAGGCCAAGACTGTCTCAGCAAAGTACATTCTGGCCATATCAACTGGGAGAGGACCCATGTTCTTCATTAAGGTCGCACAGTCTCCCCCTGTAACACACAGGAAGCAAACTTAGTAGGAACAGCATCAAGCAGGACTAAGACTAGCAGTGTAGATCTCAGAACTTCAAGGAAGAGAACTGCATTCCTAAGTGGAGGGTTGGCTAAGTCATCATGTTTCTAATTAAGCTTCGGAGTGCAGAAAGCAGTTCAGCTCTGAAGTGAACTGTGTTTTGAAGAACCTCTAGCATAATTCGGGATGATAGTACTAATTTATAACGTATCAGCATAAGACACAGATGCTAGAATTAGACTGCAGAGGTGGTATCCGACTGCCTCTGAGCAGCTGAGAGCTCTTAGGCAAATGAATTTAGTATTCTTGGTTACTTTGATGTGCTATCACGTTAGACATGGCATCCTTTATAGCAGAGGTTCTCAACCTGTGGGTCTCAACCCCTTTGGGGGGGTCAAACAAACCTTTCACAGAGGTCATATATCAGATGTCCTGCTAATCAGACATTTACATTATGATTCATAACAGTAGCAAAATTATAGTTATGAAGTGGCAATAAAATAATTTTATGGTTGGGGGTCACCACAACATGGAGAACTGTACCAAAGGGTCACAGCATGAGCAAGGTTGAGAATCACTGCTTTATAAGATTTTCTGAGGTTCACTCTATGTAAAGGAATGAGGACATAGACTCATACATACCAAATGTGGTAGAGAGCTACTATAAGAAAAAACACAACACAGCCGGGCAGTGGTGGCATATGCCTTTAATCCCCACACTCAGGAGGCAGAGGCGGGTGGATCTCTGTGATTTCGAGGCCAGCCTGGTCTACAAAGCTACACAGAGAAACCTTATCTTGAAAAACCCCAAAAGAAAAAAAAAAAGAATAACCACAACACAATAGTTCAGAAACAAAGGACTGGTGTGGTAGAAAGAACAGTGGGTGGAACATAAACAGTTTGGGGCTCTATCCACCACTCAGTTCCCCCTTTCTTGGCTGTCAATCCACTTATCTGAAAAACAGGAAAGGTCTAAGTAAAAATCTCTACTATTTCTTGGAGATTTACAGTGAGAGCATTCTCTCCAAATAAAGACAAGAGTCTAAAAAACACTGAGAAGAGGGTTCGAATGTCCACTGATATATTCATTTTGTTAAATTTATGTCAACAATGATGTTGGATGGAAAGTCTCAGAAATTTAATGGAGAGAGAAGGGGGAGGGAGGGAGAAATAATATTACTTTGAGCATCCAAAATGCACACCACAAACTGTTAAGGAGGAGACTGGGCATGGTAGGCAGAACATGCCCATAGTCCTAGCACTCAAGAGACCAAGGCAGAGAGATGATAAAGTTTGAGACCTGCTTGGCTATAAAGAAGACTGTTTGAAAAGAAAAAAAAAGGGGGGTGGGGTGGGGGTGAATATTGGGAAGACTGGATTTTTAATTTACTACCATAGGCTAAGAAAGATACATTTTAAATTCACTTTTTAAGAAGACTAATTACAACGAACACATTTTATGATATGTGATAAAAGGAAGCAAAAAAAAAAAAACTATCACCTATATTCCAACTTTAATGACCAATTGTGGGGAGGCAGTTAGGATTAAAAGCTATTAAAAAAGAAAACAACCTTTTCCCAAATAACACTAATTTTCCCTGTTATAGTAGCAGACATTTTCTAAGCAATTATCAGAAGATAATGACTGGGAATTCAGCCATCTCATTGCTGGCTTCGTTGACTCCTGGGTGGATATAGCTGTTATGTGGCACAAATGTAGCTTCAGCTGTAGGAATATCTGGGTATTTAGGCACTTCGAGACCAATTTACCTTCTACATACTCCATGACCATGCACAAGTGGCGCCTTGTTTCAAAGGAGCAATACATGCTGACCACAAAAGGGTTTTCTGCGAAAGTGAGGATGTCACGTTCCACGAAGGCCTGCTGAATCTGGTTCCGAAGGATAAGGTTCTGTTTATTAATCTTCTTCATGGCAAACCTCTGCCGGGACTCTTTATGCCGAACAAAGTAGACCGCCCTGAAACAGTCAGTTCAGAAGGTAAGGATGCTCAGGGGTTTCACAAACCATACAAGCCCCATTAGCTGGGGGTTCATGACAGCTCAAGCTAAGTTCCCACAGTTGCGCTGGTAACTTGGAAACCCCCATTCCAGGCCAAAGTCCTTTTGGTTACATTGACTTTCCACAAAACCCTTTTAATAAAGATCATACAGAAACCCCAGAGGGGAAAGGCAGTCCCCAGAGTGAGCCATTTCCCAAGAGCTAGCTGATGTTTTCAGTTTTTCCACAAACAAAACAAAATCCAATATATAAGTCAGAACTGGGAAGAATTAACAAAATTACATACAGATCACGAGCGACATCCTTTCTAGCATTAGACATATGTTAGGCACATTTCCTGGACTGACTAAAGCAGTAATTTTCTAAATGATACCCTTGGGATCCGCAAAGAGGACCACAGCTTCTTAGAGTCTCTAGTTTCCAATTGAGAGTAATTACTTCCCATGGACTCTCCAGATAAATGTGAAGTGTGTATAAGGATATATGAGATTGTTCTGCAACAAAGAGTCGCATTATTTCCTCACTACAGACTCCACATGCATACCCTTTCTGAACTCCAGCAGCAAGTACATTTCCCAACATGATGGAGGAGGGACAGCCAAGGAGCAATATGAATGCTCCCTGCAGCCTCCTAGCCAAGCTATGAAGCACCTTTATGGTATAAAATGACCAGACTAGGCCACACTCAGTCCCTGCTACAGCCTGGCCCAGACACTCTCTAGAAAGACAGTGAAGCCCCTAAGACCTGGGATGACCTGGAGAAAGGAGTACTTAGGCGCAGGAGTCCTATCCTCACTAGGAAATAAGCAACATGGAAAAGGCCTAGGATGGCCCCCTTCCTCACAAGTCACTCTGCTCGTTTTCATAGAAGTACAGGTTTGAGCTTCCAAGAATGCAATGATCAAATAAGTGATCCCTTAAAGGGCCTCTAAGCCTATAACGGGTTGTACATGATGTCCTGAGACCAAACACATCACTCATATATGTAGCAATTTATCTAAAAAGCCACTGATCATGGTAAACATACATAACTGACATGCCTTCTAAAATAAGGAGCTATGTGAACTTCAATGAGTTTTCCACTTAGCTAGCTCAGTGTCTCTGAACAATGAATGGCTGGCTACAAAGAAAGCTGAGACACTGTGTTCCCTACTGAACCAAGAGCTCAGGGCATGGTCATAAGTCTCCGTATATTTAAATCTGGTTTAATCCTATCAATGTTTTCACTTGAGTGTTCAGCTAGTGATTGCCTTTTCTTTCCAACCTGTCTTTCTATTTTCATCATATCCCTGTCTTGTGTTTGTTCACCATGTCAGGGTCACACATTTATATTTCTCTCTCTATTATCTTTGGCTTTGCTCCCTTTCTTCATTTATTTGGGTTTCTAGTTTTTGAAATGTTCACTATATAGTACAAAGAAATATCTCTTCATGACACTCCTCAAAATAACTCCACAGGTATCCTGGCACTGTATTCTCACTGTAAACCAAAACCACATGACAGTCAGCCAGTTGGACATTTGTACATGCTAAGTTAGGGGTCTTCTTTGGGATGCCTCAAGGCTGGGCTCCTACAGGCTGTGTTGATTCCTTCACCTGTTCTGTTAGTTAGAAATTAATTCAAGCACATGGCAAGAAGCTCGATTTGCTTGGTTACACAGCAAATCTGAGGCCAATTTGGGCTCCATATGATTCTGTTTCAAGAAAGATTAGCTAATGCAGATAAATAAACCAATTCTTATGATTTGAATGTTAAATGTTCCTCACACATTAGTGTTTCAACACCTGGTCCCCAGAAGGTGGTGGTAAGTAGGGAGGTTGTGGAGCCTTTAGGAAGACCTAGCAAGGAGAAAAAAGGGTGGCTGGGTGCATAGGGGGTGGTGTCTACTTCCTGGTTTCTGCAAGATGTAACATGTGTGCTGCAAACTGCCACCAAAATGGAAGGAGTTCCAGTCCCCCACACCTCCCCTGTCATGATGGACTGAGCCTCTCAGGAACAGGAACAAATCCTTCCTCCCTTAGGTACACCCCTTGTGTCTTTGATCTCAGTAGAAGAAAAGTAACTAGTAACTAGCCGATGAAATGTAACCATGACAACGAGAAGTACTGTTGATAATAAGTGTTTTGGAAGGCTTCAATAGATGCAGATGACTCAATAAAATTCCTATTGGTTTTAGTGGGAATGAACTTTCCAAAAGCTGACAAGACATTTAGAGGCCAATATTCAGACTGCTTCAAATTTCAGCTTCTCCTTTAAACTTGGGAAGCAGAAATCATGCATTCTAAGTATGACTCATATCAACTGTCTTCAAAGGCCCAGAACCTAGAGACAATATACATATGTAGGATAAACTTGAATGTTTACCATACATGTTTTTCTAAAGATTTCCTATTATTAGCAAATTTTAAATTAATTAGCTAGCTAGTACATAGTTCTCTAGCTGTTGAAAAACTTTCATGATGGGGGATGTCCTTCTGTATTCTGTGAACATATGTTTCTCTTATTCGTTTATGAATAAAGCTGTTTCAGACAACGGACAGGCAGGATTTAGCCAGATGGGAAATCTAAACAGAGATAGAGAAAGGTGATAGGTAGGGTGAAGGAGATGCCATGTAGCTACCGGGAAGGTAGGATGCCTGGGCATTCTCTGGTAAGCCAAGACCATGTGGAGATATATAGACTAATAGAAATGGGTTAATAATTAAGAGAGAGCTAGCCAATAAGAAGCCCAAGCCATCAGACAAACAGTTTATAATTAATATAAGCCTCTGTGTATTTATTTGGGATGAAATGGCTGTGGGACTGGGAAGAACTAAAACTTCCATCTACACTTTTATATTCCTTTTTCGAAAATCACTGGTTGGGATAAAATAAAAAGTCTACAGAAACTGAAAGCTATGTCTAACCATGATAGTGACAGAATATGGAGATCACCACAAATGAGTACAAAAAACAACGTGGCCATGCCCAAATATAAGATACACATTGGTAAGCAAATGTTAGTAAAAATGAATTTCTGAGATGAGGGAAATTTTTGTAAATAAAATCAAGAACTCAAAATATTAACATAAAAATGATACCTTTTTATAATTGCTTGCCTCGTCTTAAGAGTCACCTGGATTGTAACTCACCTTCCAACTTTTCCTTTAATATTTCATATTAAGTTCAGTGCTAAGGACCCTTAGACCTGCATTCTGAATTCCACACTGAAACTATCACAAGGTCGATGCTTTGCTTTTCAACCAAGTGTTGATCAAGATACTGAAGGACTAGACTTCCTAACTGGATGAAGGCTTGTTGGTCATTTCTGCAATGCTGGGCACTGAACATGGGACCTTGGACATTTTAGGCAAAAGATCTACCATTGGGCAATATCCTCTGTCTCTAGTTTATGTTCTTACATTTCTATTCTGCTTTGGAGTATTATTCTTAATACTTATTCTAAGTATTAACTTACTTAGTAGTAACTGTACTTGTCACATACAGCTTTCAACTTTTGCTGTGTAGCAATGTACTAGATCTACTTACATCAGCAGAGAGCAAGACATTGAGAAAGAGATCAATTGATGGACAACCAACACTGCTGAATGCATTATGAATGTCCTAATGACACAACACTGCACTGTCTGCTAAGGCTTCCTATTTCTTTGATACCTGGCTCCAGCATTACTTTGCTGGAAAAGACTGTTCTGTCTCTTCCTCTGCAGGAAAGCACAAGAGTGGGAAATGACATGGTGAAAAGGCAGCTAGAGACCCTTGCCTTCTGGGAGCCAGGTATCTCTCTGCCTGTGTCAGATAAGTAAAGTAAGGCACATTAGAGAGCCTCTGAAGTCCAGTGAACACCTGTCCCATTAGAAGCATGATCCTAGTGCATATGAAATTACGAGACTCTGAAAGCTCAGTGCACAGGTGTGAGCCAGCAGATGCATAGGTGGCAGTAGGGTAGTGGAAAATGGAAAGGAAAGGTCATCATAGAGTGTGTGAATGGGTGTGTCAGCTTGGCCTTGTGGATCTTACTAGTAAATACCTCTGAGCCCTTGAGGGGTAAGAGAAGAGTGTTCATCAAGGTCACAAAGAAAAGTAAAATAGGGGGAGAAATGTTGCAGCTTTCAAGTGTTTTTTTTTTTAAGATTTTATTTATTTATTATGTATACAACATTCTGGTTCCATGTATATCTATCTGCACACCAGAAGAGGGCACCAGATCTCATAACCAAAGGTAGTGAGGCACCATGTGGTTGCTGGGAATTGAACTCAGGACCTCTGGAAGAGCAGTCAGTGCTCTTAACCGCTGAGCCATCTTTCCAGCCCAACTTTCAAGTGTTTTTACTGAGTCAATGTTCTTTTGGCTGTGTGTAGCAGTACACACTTGTAATAGAAGGATAAGGGGTTCAAAGTCAGTCTGCTCTACATAGCAAATTTGAGGTCAGTCTGGACTATAAAAGACCCCATCTTGACCCACATAATCTAAAGGGGGAAAACATCTCTTTAAAAACATTTGAGGTTATGGCTTTAAAATCCAATCAATATTCAATGGAATAAGTTAGATTTTTTTTTTCTCCACTGGTTCCCAGAACCAGAGGGTCTGTGTACCTGAGATTGGCTTTCACAGACATGTGGAAAGGGAATCAACTACTACATCGGCTCTTAAGCAGAGAACACAGACAAAGAGGCCAGGACAATGGTGGGTTTACTAGCTTCAGTGTTCTAAAAGTACTATAAAAGTTTCACTTCCAGCTGGAGACCAGTTGACATTGACCAAAATGGCATTATCCTACATATGGTCAGAAAACATACCAAGAAATATTGCTTTGTGTCTTACCATGCTTTTCTAATGAGAGGGTTAGCTCCTAGCACCAGCAGCAGTTGGGGAGACACAGAATCTGCCTTTCTCTGAGCCACTGATGTAAGTAGTGACACCCTGTTACACAGATACCCAAGACAGTGGGAAGAGCCCAGATCCTCTGCTCATCTAAGGGTCTATTTGTTCAGCTAGCCTGAAGACAGCATCATGGCTGGTTGAACTGACAGGGGGTAGCTCCATCCCAATTTTAAATTAAAAATAATTCAGATAGAAGGAAAATCTGTCAGAAATGTAATGAGATATTACATCCGAGAAGAGAAGAGGGGAAAATGGTTCTGGCTGATCGGCGGAGGCTCCGGCAGGCAGCTTGTGAGCCCATTAATAACTTGGCCTGCATCCTGGGTGTTTACTAATTCACAGCTTGTTTAACTTCTTGTATATTCCCGACCATTCCCCGAAGTGTGATATACCTCATCTACTATCCAGTGGTTTAATTGCACTACAAATGAGTTTACTCAACCAATTAGAACTCCAAATACGGCTAAGATACATGCCGAGATTTACAAAAGTGCTGCTTCCTAGAACATCTTACTCCAGACTTCATTCCACTGATGAAAAAGAGCTGAACTGTGCTCCAACCCTGTGCCTGTGAGATCAGCCTGCTGGCTTCTTCCTTCTAAGAATGCCTGAGGTCATCTCCAGAAGAAACACACACATACACACACCAAGTGGTAATAAACAAACAAAAGGCACAAATAATTGCATGCTGGAAAACTTTCAATGAGGAAAGCAAATATTGGAAAAAGGTAACATGTAAAAGCATTTATAGGCTGCATCAGGAAACAGGCCATTTGACATAGTCCTGAAAGCCAGTGAGGCAGAGAGAGGGCTCACAAATATTTAAGTTCTTTGCTAAGTTAATGGTGTGGAAAATATTAGAGGTGAAAAACCAGTAAGGAGAAACATCCCTTGTGGCACAACAAAAATCACTGTCTCATCTGCTCCCATGTGGATAAATAGCAATAAATGTCTTGGTGATTATTTATTGCTCTCTGTATATAGATAGAATTGGGATTAATACTTAATTAAGATAGAATTCTTGGGCAGTCTAAAATGGATTAGGTCAAAGTTTATATGTTAATTGTCCTTCTGCACTATTTATTGGTAACTCAGAATTTACTATTTACAACTTATTATTGTTACTATTTATTCTGCACCCTGGGAAGGAAACTGCCTATAGCCATGGTTCTCAACCTTCCAAATGCTGTGACCCTTTAACACAGTTCCTCATGTTGTGGTGACTCCAACCATAAAATTATTTCGTTGCTACTTCATAAGTGCAATTTTGCTACTGCTATGATCATAATGTAAATATCTGAGAGGCAGGATATCTGATTTTTGACCCCTGTAAAAGGGCCATTCGTTCCTCAGTGGGCTGAGAATACCTGGTCTATAGAAATGGATCAAGGAATTCAACGTTTCCCAGTGCAAAGAAAGGATAAATGTTTAAAGAAATGAAAACACTAACTTTGATGTTACCATTATACAGATACTGAAATATTACTGTGTAACAGGGTACTGAAAGTGCATGTCAACAGATAAAACACTAAAAACATAAAACTTGAAAAAACAGTAGTGACACAAGACTCTAATCCTGGCACTCAGAGGGTACAAGGAGAACAATCAGGAATTGAAGGTCATCCTTGGCTACATGGTAAGTTCAAGGTCAGCCTGGGCTACATGAGACCTTGTCTCAAAATTTCTGAGAAAAGAAAACCCATTTTATCCATTATGAAAAGAGATATTATGAAATGGAAAAGAAAGAAAAGTGATAAGAATTTAGTGCCCACTAGAGACTGAAAATGCATTCTTTAAAGACATTTGTATGAATGTCTCTTCCTTCAGGAATAAAAACGGATCAAGGAAGGATTGCTAGTAATGTGCTTAGATTATGATTTAATAAACATGCTAGTGTATGGAGTCACATGTGTGGTGTGTTTCACACAATATGTAACATATATGAACTCAACAAAGAGTTGAATGCTGTTCAACCCCAAGCACAGACTTAGTCATAAAAAACAGGAATATAGAACATTTTCTTCTACTTTATAAAACTTTCAGATCTCCTAAAATAAGCCCTGGTTCACCAACTGTGTCTTTGGTTGGGTCTTTAGAAGTGACTTTGGCTTCATGTTATACCCAAGGGGGAAGAAGCAGCCTTCTAAAATGCCAGTCCCTACTGGCAGCATCTACTTAGGATAAGGTAAGAGTGAAACCAAATGATGTACTCCAGTCCTCTTAGATTACTCACCCATAGGCTCCATTACTGATCAATTTAATTGTTTCAAAATCACTCTCTCGGGGTTTCCTTCGAAGTCTCAGGGAAGTATTTGAGCTCTGTGGAACAGAATGTGAATGCTTAAAATACAATTCTGATTTGGAGACAATTACCGTAATGCGCTGTTTTGGAGACAGTAACCGTAATGTGCTGTTTAACCTGCCGAGGCATGGTGTGAGGAACTGGGGCCAGCTCCAAGGTCGTGCTCCAGCGGCACTGAGCTGCGCTCCTAGCCAGTCCTTATCAGCTGCATTTAAGCAAGCTCATGTTGCCAAAAGAATACATGTGAAGGTTTTAGAAATCTAGGCTTCATCCAGGTCCTACATTGTAATGCTAACTCTAAAATGCCAAACCTTCCCCTCTGTTTTCATTCAGAAAAGAATTAGGTCACTGGTGTTGGGGGAGAATATATGGGCTCTCCACTCCCGACAAGACTGTATCCTTTTCATTCTGTGGCACTGTACACATGGTAGGTGACACATTTCTTAGATGTGGAATGCCTACCCATGTTTACCTCCATACCAGAAGTCTTTCTATATCCTAAATACCAAAACTCTAAATGACAGCTCTCCAAACACTTCAGCTTATTAATGACCAGGAAAAACATCACTGCTTTGACTAAGCCCCTTGTGCCCCACTCATCTCAGCAGCTGCTTTGCTCCCTCCACAGAACCCACAACTCCCTCTCCATCATTTTGGAAGACCCCATGATGCTGAGGTGTGCACAAGTCTCTCCTGCCAGGACTGCCATCGTTCTGCTCATCTCTGGAAGGCTTACAAACCAGCTCCTGACCATTGTGTCTGCTTCAGTTTTCCTCGAATCCTACCATCTCTACCTGGCCTTAGAGTCGCTTGACTTCCTCAATCCAAAGAGCCACCTGTCTCTTCCACTTGCCCCTGGAGCACTTAACTGCTTTGCACAGGCCCTCTTGTCTCACTAACTCTTCCTTCACATCACAGATGATGACGTCACTCAGACCTCCACTGGAAACTCTCCCTCCAAAAGCCTGAGTATTGCAGGTTCCAAGCACAAGTTTAATGGTTCTTGGATATTTCGAAGGAACTACAGTTTCAACACATCTCAACTATAAAAGTTATGATAAGAAGTTAGCACAGTGACTTTCCATTGGCACTTAACTATGGGGCATGCCATTTAGCTTTTATCCAGATGGAGAAACTGAGGCTCAAAGAACTCTTTCCCCTGATTAGTATGTCACACTTATACTTTGTAAGAGGTAGGGTTAGCTTTCAAATCCAGGCGATCTGGACTAGAGTCTGGGTTCTCAAACCCCAGACTATAGAACATGCTCCCACCTTCCTAATCACTTGGCTTCAACCTGGCTTCTCTCATAGTTCTCACTTCTTAGGAGAATGTCCCCAGTCAGCAGGAACTCACACCAGTGCCACTGATGCTGCCTCTTAACTGACATCCCTGTGGCCACCCAGTCTGCTTCCGGTATCCCATCAGCTTTCAAGCCATGGCTCTGACCAGGCCATCTCCCTGTTTATTCCCTCCTCTCTCATATGCATGCTCTCTTCCATTGCTCAGTGACTTTCCACCACCCTTAAAAAGAAGGAAACTAGCCAGGCGGTGGTTGTGCACGCCTTTAATCCCAGCACTCGGGAGGCAGAGGCAGACAGATCTCTGTGAGTTCGAGACCAGCCTGGTCTACAAGAGCTAGCTCCAGGACCGCCTCCAAAGCCGCAGAGAAACCCTGTCTCAAAAAACCAAGAAAAAAAAATGAAGAGGGAAACCTGATAAATGTGAGCAGGATCCTACTGACTAGTTTCCTTCAAGCTTTTCAGCTCTGGAGCCTTCTATGCTTTTACCCCTCAGCATCTCGAGTGGTCCTCTGTCCCTTTATGTCCTACTCATCTTTCCCATTTCAGCTCAATAGCCACACCTGTGAAAAATCTTCTGGAATTGGCCAACTCTGAAAAAAATCTACTCATGCAATGATCTACCAGCTCATGGTCATCTTTTCTTCACATACGTTATTCATGCTCACTGTTGCTATTTTAGTGTGTATGATGTCATTTTGTAAATTTCTGCCTTCTCTTAGGAGTGAAGCACTAAAATTGTATGCCTTATTCCTTGCCCACAGAAAGACAATGAACATTTATGGAACAAAGTAATTAACACAAGCAAAACTCTCCAGATGCTAAGAAACAGAAGAACCACCACAATCATGTATCACTCAGGAAAGATACTCACACTCAGTGACTCATCTGTCTCCGGGGTTTCTGCTGTCCCACTATCATAATTCCCCAACTGAGCCATTTCTAAGATTAAAAAAAAAAGGAAAAGAATGAATTTTGACATTAAGTAAAAAGACAAAATCAAAACAGAAGGGAAATAAGTTTTCATTATTTAAAAAGAGAGAACAGTTCAGTCTATAGACCAATAAGCACACATTGCAGCCCAAAAGTCAAGAATGGCAGCTGCCATTTTAAGCATGCTCTCATAACACTTTCTCTGGATCTCCAATTTTATGAATATCCAGACCTGGGAACATGGGAGAGTGAGTGGGCCTCTGCTCCAGTGAGCAGCAGCCCCTGGCTCATGCATGCTGTCTAGCTTGCAAGCCTTGGGTGAGCTAGCAGCTTTGTCTATAATCCAAGAGAGGCAAGCCCTCCCAAGACTTGACACCCAGCAAAGATGCATTGGCTACAGTTTGGAAATGATTCTCAGTTGCAGGAACACAAAGAATGTGCAGTTCTCCAGGGTCAGTAATGATGGTGGGTACTAGGGACAGGGACAAAAATACTTGGGTTGCCAGTTCCTGACTTTTTAACTCCAGGTTCTTATGAAAGGCATGACTAATATTATGTCGTAGAGCTTTTGTGAGTACTACAAGTGCCAATGCATGTAAAGTTCTTAGCATACCCACTAATAAGAATTAAGTGCTCATTCAATGTTGGTTGTTATTTATTAATTACATTGTTCAGAGTAGTCGATTCTGGGCTGGATGCCACAAGCTTGATACCAGCTTAAGTACTTCCCTAGTGGTCTAGTTAAAAGTGACAAAGGCATCTAATGTCTAATTGCTCAGCCCATGGCTTGGAGAGAATCCTTGAGTTTATATAAGTAAATGAGAAGGCCTAATTCATTTAATGTTCATCATCGTATTGTCTTTAAGACATGTTTTATTATAAGGAATGTGAAAGAATTTTCTCCAAAAGCATTTTTAGTTTCTCAAACCTGAATGTGTTACCAAACAGCTATAGTTTTTAGCCATTTTGTAAACATTTAAAATTGCCCATTGTGCTTTTATTTCGTGTTTGTGCTATTATAAGCACAACTGTCTTTTGGGGGCTGTGATTATTCATAAGAAAGGAGTGCCGTCTTGAGGTGAAAGTGTATGAATTCCAGATTCTGCAATAGCTGGACAATGGCGCTAACTTCCCCACTTTAGAAACAGATGAGATTCCTGAGTAAAGCTGTGCTGAGACCAAATACCTTCTTAGTGTCCTAGAAATGACTTACACTTCAGTGTGACTAGCACCTTAAATGCAGAGACTTGAACAAACCCAGGAGTACTTGGTTTGAGGGGCTCTCAACCAAGAGACAAGATCTGATACTGTGTAGCAAAAACAGCCACAGCAATTTCTATTAGATAGGCAGTTACTGTGCTATCCCAACACAGAGATTACATCTATGAATGGGTACTCCGCCCCCACAGTTACTTATTTACTTTTATGGAGACACAAAGTGGCTTATGTATTTGCACAGAGAAGGTCACAGCCCAGCCTAGAACTCACTCCTATGTACCAAAGGACAGACATTAGTTTGTCTGTTTTGGTATTACCAAGAAAGGGAAGCAAAAGTATCTCGGGGTTTGTAATCAAATTAGCTGGAGACTTCAAGAATTAAAATATACATTGAAAAACTGTTCTCAGAATGAGTCAAGAGAATTCTCAGGAGTAAAGAAAAATTCCTGGTGATAAATTTATACAAATGTGTCAAAGATCACTACTGTTTTCTTTTAAACATCTATTCAGATATGTAAGAGGACATCACATTATTCATGTGCCAAAGTTCTGCCTATAGTGACATTCACTGCCAGAGAAGAAAACTGCACAGGGCTCTCTGGTTGACAAGTCAAGGGCTGATGAAGCCTTAACTATATCAGCATGAAGAGTCACTCTAACGTGCTTTGACAGCCTCCCCTCTCCAATTATTTTCATAAAAAATGAATTAAAAGACAGTTCTGTTTTAAATAGAATTTTGGCTAAGTAACGATTATCTGAGAAATCCATATTATTTGTAAGCGGTGGGTAGTAATGGGATGGAGCCAAGAGTCAGCTTTTGAGGCAGGGAGGCTAAGCCATCATTTTGTAATGCCTGAAGAGATTTTTTAAAACTCATCTAAATACCATTAAACATCTGCCCTTTTTATTTCATTGATTTAAACCATTTCTGAAGACTTGTGATTCAAAAAGGTAAAGATGGTAATTTAAAAGCCATGGGAGAAAATCTCTCCCCAGGGAACTTTTCAGAGAAGCAGCCACCAGTCTCTGTAAGTGATGAATCTGTTGTGGTATCGCTTTCAGTACAGTATAAATTTATCTGGCACTATCTCCCAGGGATGCATGCATCATTTCACTAGAAGCAAAGATACAATGGCTGCAAGAGCAAACAAAGCGGGGAGAACAGGAAAGAGCAGGGCAGAAAGCAGAAGGTTCCCTAGCTTAGGACAGGAAAAACAATCCCCGCACCAACATTTACCTCCATCACAAACAATTGAGCAGGTTAAACACTGCCTGCAAATTCAATTTAATGAACCAGGCAGACAATTTGGAATGAGGGTGTCAATGATTGTTTACGAGTCTTCTGGGCTGGTATGCAGATTAAGTGTTGTGAGTGACAAAAATCAAGTGATGTATATAACAATAATATAACAGTGAACCAGAAAAGGAGGGGAGGGGATACCAATATTAGATATTTTGAAAATTAGTACAGGACATTTCTTACTTCCTATATTTAATAGAATTGTTTCTTTCTTCACGTGAATCAAACACACGTCCTCTTAGGAGAGTTTAAAAGAAGCATCTGCTTCAACCACTGGCTCTCTTGTACATACTATTTTTTCATGCTTACTTGAGACAAGTAAGCTAAAAAATACCTACCATTGCTGTTCTCAATTTAAAGTCATCCACTGTAGCTGCATTACTCCTAAATTAAATTTAAATGTCAATTTTAAATGAGTGATGATTTTTAGCAACACTTTGAAACCGAAAAGTGCTCTCCAGAGGGACCCCACTGAGCTTTGCAAAAGAAGGACTCAGGGAGGATGGAATCTAAGTGCTCCAGAAGACCTTAAGCACTCTTATGAATGCAGGCCTCAAGTCCAGCAAGGCTGGCCGCATTTTCTAGCTGACACACACTGGGGCATGTTCATTTTTTCCTTTGTATTCAACTACGGCTATTGTTTTCAAATACTAACTGGTCTCCCCCCAAAGAGGCTTTTTCACAGAGATACCCAACATAAGACAAGTAAAGGCTCATTATGAAGTTCTTCTAGATGCCATGGTCAGAGAGACGGCAAGGGCATCCAGACCAGCACTCACCTTCCAAAGGGTCCTTGTTGAGCCCCAACTGGCTGATGATGTACCTGGGAATGTCACTTTTGATTCCCTGGCCTTCTTTGGCATGACCTTCTGCAGCTTCCAATAGGTAGTAAAATTCTTCAGGATCAAATTCCTGGCAGGTGACAAGCATAGATGAATACTTCCTTGCTTTGAATCAGAAAGGTTTTATTATATACATCTTATTCACTTCACCAGCTGGTATAGCTGAAAGTTATATAGGAAGAAAGAAGGCAGAGGCCTTTACACAGTACCAAATTCTCACTTTATATCTGAAGCCTATTCACAGTCCAAGGCAATGTATACATACAACCGGTAACCTAAAGGAAGTGACTATATCCAGTTTTCCAGTTTCTTTGTAATGTAACTTCTATTGACAATCAGGAGCCCACAGAAAGAAAAAAAAAGTGTTTTTTTTTTTTTTTTTTTTTTTTTTTTTTTTTTGAGCTGAGGTCTCAGTGTGTTGCCTGGACTAGCCTCAGATTCCTTAACTTAAGAAGTCCAGTCTTCCCCTTCAGTCTCCTATAAGTAATGAGACTCTTGAGGTGTGTGGCACCATGCTCAGCTTGGTGTGCTTTCCCTCCAAAGTCTACCCCCTGCTGTGTCTCATCACGCACTTGTATGCATTTATGGAGCTATGAATATTTCCATTTCATAAAACATTATGAATGTTTAATTAAAGTGAGGATGAAACCAAAGCACCTGTGACCATATCCATATCGTGAGTAAGGCTGAAAGCTGTTACACATGGAGAGACATTAGTAGTCAGCAGAAGTTAAAAGTGAATTTTCATACTGCAATAATAGGCCCTTAAAGAATTCTTAGGCTCAAAGCATCAAATTTGTTTACAGTTTTGACTGAAATCTCAAAGTATGGTAAAACCAAAAAAAAAAAAAAAATTGAAAACAAGAAATGCAAGAAATGATCATTGACCAAAAAGATACAAACACTACAAGTAACTGATGTCTAAAAGTAGCTCTCCCTCCAGATCTGGATGATGCCTTGCTATATATAGTCTTTCAAATGGGTTGTCAACTACCACGCATTTCTAACACGGCACATTTTAAAAACAACAATGATAGCCACCGATCACCATATCCCTGACTTCCCTCTGTCTGAAACTTAGCAACGCCAGAAGCATGAGGCATAGTAAGCATTTGAAACTAGCTGTGGCATAAGGTTATCATGCTGCAATAAGGTCAAGCATATTATCTCATGATTGCCCTTCAGCTTTGACCAGAATACAACATGACTGCTGCTTAATAACAGCACCAGTGCCAGAATCCCTTCTCAGCATTGAAGAAGACAGGCTGCATATGGATGCTATCATAAGCAGTCACATGTCATAGGCCCTCCTGACTTTTCCTATTTAGTATCTGTGGTTGAAGTTAAATGAAATTGGAGCCTTCCGATGGTTGCTACTTTCTACAGTTAACAATAAACAATACAGTCACATCTATGGGCAACTTACCAAGCACTCCAATAGCCGAGCAGGGCGGGCAATAACAATTAAGATCTTTCGGACTAGCTGTTTAATAAATGCCAGCTCTCCACTTTCAGAACGATCATGAGCCTATGAAAAAGCAATGAGCAGAAAGATGATACAGGGGGCTTCACTAAATGGAAAAGAAAATCAGCAAAGCATGCTAATTAGGTGATTTTTTTTAAATCAGAAATTAAGTGACTTAGAAAACACTCTTAACAGGCATTATCTCTAACATAAATGGACACTATCAGACATCTACAAAATAGCTCTATTAGCTAAAGTTTAATTGCAAAACTTTGATTTATTATGTTTTAGAAGTCAAATGAAAGGATAAGGGCTGTTAACATGAGCCATGAGTGAAGAAGACATTAACTTTATGATCCACTAAGAACCGGATGCCAGCAGAGGCAGCTGGTCAAGAACTTGGACTTGGACAATGAAACATTGTAGACATACAGGTCTAAGGCAGAGACAGACTGCTTTTGTTATCCCGGACAGGTAACATGGGCATCTAACATGCTCATGAGATGTAGTCACACATACGGTATGATTAGTCTAGACGTTAATTATTATCACATATGGGACATTTGCAGTACCACTGCAATTATAACCAGACATTGTTTGGTTATACATGTAGATTCAATGACACTCATGGAATAAACAACACCCAGGCACTTGGCAAGACTGAATTGGCTTAAGTACATGCTAAATTTTATTGTACATGTTGCTTAAACACAATAAATATTCCAACAGCATAGCTCAACTTGTTAATAGTCATTGACATTATTAGTATTTACTTGAAGAAATCTGACAATACAATATTAAGACTGGCATAGGATAAAATTTGAATGGAAACTATTCATGTTCACTTTTTAAGGGTTTCATAATTTTCAGGTTTTATGATACAGTTTTCTAAGGATTTAGGAAAGGCATTACTGGTGCCATAGGTTAATATTTAAGAAACATTTTTTTTATCATTCTTGGGAATGTTCATCAATGACAAGTCCCACCTTCAGAAGAGCTTGCAGACAAAACTTATGAAAAAAAGATCATAACATGTCCACTGCATTTAAACTAATGTCCCAACACACAGCTTGCATGAAAATAAAAAATAAGGAAATAACTGTAGAATACATTCTACATCTATAGAAAATAATAGCACACACCTCAAATACAAGCTATCTTTAAATTTTCTTTCTAACGTTTGTTTTCTAAGAAAAAGAAATTTTGGAAAATATAATTAATGCTAAGAAACAGGACTTGTATTTATTTATTTTTTTGTAGTTCATCATTAGCTAAACACAAATTTCCAAAGATAAATTGAAAACAAACAAAAAGCCTATCTAACTTCTTGGTGACACTTTGAGTTGAATGTTCCTATAATAATGTCTATCTTATGAATTCACAAATAAAACAAATAACTAGAATATTGATATACACTCTGTTGGTTTTTTTTCCCCCACCAAAGGGGAAATGGTCAATTCAGATGGCAAAAAATTCATTTCAAAGGCCATAAAAATGATGACATATCCTAACTTCTAACAATCATCAGCTATGTTTTACTCCAAGACACATGAGTTCTATTAGCTCAAATAGTATTTTATTAACCAAACTGCTACATGAAGACAGGCTTCACAAAAGCAACAACCAGTGAAGTGGCACAGTGTGAGAAGGAAGTGGCTTCCTGGTCTCTTTCGGCACACTCCAGAGGCACTGGTGGAGTCCTGAGTCTGTATTGTAAGTGTTGGCCACTATCGAAAAAGACTTGACCCAGATTTGAGAGTTAGAGTTTCCTTTGTGTTTTGTCTTCTTTGGCTAAACACACCTCAGTGAAAAAGAGACTGTAGACATAAAAGTATTCATCTAAAATTGACCTTGACCCTGGTCTTTAAAAGGCATCTGTTAAATCAAGCCATTCAAACCATAGGGGGATCTGCACCTGGGAATACGTAAAAGATTGACAATGGTAAAGTGGTGAGGAGACAGGCTTGCTGGGCTCTGAGTGTCACATCTGGGAATGGACAACAGCATGCCAGAGAAACCACAGCCTGTTCCTACAGCTCTGCTCTCCCTAGAATGGCCATGCTCCCCTTAGACTGGTTTGCTCCAGGCTCTGGGCAGACACTGACAATGTGCCTCTGAAGGGAGACTGAATTGTTGCAAACGACTGAAAGAAACTGCATCTGTGAAGAAGCTTAAGAAAACATCCTTCCTCTTTCCCAACAATGACCTTTAGGCTACTGGTATACGTGCTTCTCTGGCTCAAAGAGAAATTTCTCTAGGAATGAACCCTTTTCATCTGTTATTACACCCACTCAGAAGATCCTTGAAATGCTAAGATTTATTTTTAATTTCCATGAAACAATCTGCCACGTCTGCCATCAACAAAAATATAGGGGAGATTTTCATATAAATAACTCAGGTATCAAATCTACCTCCTTCAGGAACTGCTTAAGAAGGAGCAAAAAAAAAAAAAAAAAAACTGACTAAGCTAGTCCTTATGATGCTATCTTGTGGGTGGCCCATGAAATTCAGGAAGAGACATGTGGCAGAGGCTGACTACAGAGGTCCCATGGACTACTTCCTTCAAAGTGTGCCACTGCACAAACATCAATGGGATGAAGAGGGACAGCAGAATTAGATCCTTGACCTTGTATCATCAGGGATCAAATGTTTTGATATGCTTCCAAATGTGCTTTCTTCCTTCTTCTCTCCCTTCCAAAGGAACTGAGGAACCCATAAATACCAGATACTGAGCTTGGCAGCAGGGAATAAGAGATGACCCATGGCCTTCAAAGAGCTCACTGATAGAAACGTGAGACTTCCCTCTCTCCCACACCTCAAATCTCGTTAGAATGCACCATGGCTGAACTGAAGAAGTGAGGAATAGAGACCATGATATGGTGCTTGTCTAAAGAGGAATGGATGATGAAAAGTGTTGAGCTATTCTTGGAGCTCAACAGACTGCAAGGATCTGAAGGGTTAAGACTGGATATAAGTAGACTGGTGAAGAGAAGGATCTGAACCAGGTAATAACAGAAAAGGAGAGAAAAATTAGAGTATCTAGGAAGTAAACCAGGAGATGCCAATGCTTGCCAGATGGAGAGAGAGAGAGAGAGAGAGAGAGAGAGAGAGAGACAGAGACAGAGACAGAGACAGAGACAGAGACAGAGAGAGATTATCTAAACCCAGAGTCCTACCAAGAATTAGGGATATGGTATTGATGATGGAGGCTGTAGTGGTTTGAAAGAAAACAGCCCCCAAAGGGAGTGGCACTATTAGGAGGTGTGGCCTTGTTGGAGAAAGTGGAGGTGAACATTGAGGGCTCATCTATGCTCAAGCCACACCCAATCAGAGAGTTTAGTTTCTGTTGCCTTGAATTAAGATGTGAAATTCTCCAGCACCATGTCTGCCTTGCCTGCATGCTGCCAAACACACAGCTGTCATGCTCCTCACCATTATAATGAATTAAACTTCTGAAACTGTGAGGGGCCACCTCAACTAAATGTTTTCCTTTAGTTGCCATGGTAATGGTGTCTCTTCTCAGCAACAGAAACCCTAACCAAGACAGAGACAAAGCCCTCAGTACTCACAGCTCCAGTTAAGAAAGTGTTGAGTCTCTCTGACCCATGTTGGAGCTACCCATCACTGTTTCAGAAGGCTATGCAAATACAAAGCTATCTGACAGGCAGGCATATGCATGAATGTTGGTCTGAGAGATGCATTGAAAGCCACCAAAGTTCAAAGGACTGTCATCCATGACAGACAACAAGATCACCAACCCAGGGAGGAGAATCAGGGGAACACAATGAGATTAGAGAAGACTCACTCATAGAAAAGGGAGCTGGGGCTGGGCATTGATGGCACATGCCTTTAATCCCAGCACTTGGGAGGTAGAGGCAGGCAGATCTCTGTGAGTTCAAGCCCAGCCTGGTCTACAGAGTGAGTTCCAGGACAGGCTTCAAAGCAATACAGAGAAACCCTGTCTGGAGAAAAAACAAACAAACTAACTAACAAATGGGAGCTGGAAAGGAAATCCTTATAAGAAACAGGGAAGAAATGGATGGAGAGGTTCCAAGATGAAAGTAATACAGTGAAGGGATAGAAAGGAGATGCATGCAGGCACTGCAGTAAAATAGGCCTGCTTCAGTAAACTGAAAGTGGACTCAATGGTCAGGACATCAGTGAGCATCATGGGAGGTGTTCAGAAGCCATTCGTGGGACAAAATATTTGGGAACTTCGACATGTTGTATACCATTGTAGGTATGCCAAAAACAAACAACAACAAAAGACTGTGGTTTTGCAGAGTTCTCATGTTCCATGGACTAGTGCCGGTCCATGCACTATACCATCAGTGTGTGATGGACTCAGTACAACTAAGCCTTAGCAGTTCTCACAGCAAGTGCACATGGCCAGGATACTAAACTACATGGCCATTTCCCTGCACATTCCTTTTCACTCTAATTTATGGCAGAATTGGTTTATATCAAGATATCAAGTGGCAAATTAATAACAACCAAACCCAAAAGCTGTATGTTCACCCTCCCTGACAATCTGAGGAGCACTGCTTTACTAGTGATGTGTGAGGATGGAAACCATGGGGAAAATGCTGTTGGGAAGCTTGGATGAGAAAAGGAAAGGGAAGCGGCAGCTGCCAGCCAGAGAGGCACCTTCTCATCCTGCCAGAACTCAGTCATGGAGGGGAAAGGACAGATGGGTTTCTCAAAAGTAGGATGTTAGTATTTCCCTCCAGTTTAGTAGGATTCTTATTTATTCATTCAGAGGGGAAAAAAAAAACCACCATGATTACATTTACACGAATAGAGTTTATGCCCTTTGAGACACATAAATACTATAAATCCACACATAGGTTAAATAGGTTTCTTGCATAGGCCACGGCCAATCAACTTCAGTCAGAAGAGCTGGATCATACACTAATGCTATTCCACCATACGCATTCCCTTCCCAGCCTAGGTGTTATCAGGAGCCAGGCATGAGAGTGTTAGACAGATGGGATCCTGTGTTTATCTGTCATTTTGGAAATTGGATATTTTGTTAGAAGAAGAACTGATACTCAGGAAAATAGAAGTTGCAATTTACTACCCAATACCCCATGCAGGTTAATTAATAGGACACACTGCCTAGTAAAAGCCAGCAATTTCCCATTTACCTTTTCTAGATATTAAAATTAGATAGCTCGAACAAGTAACACACACGCACCCAGGCAATTTATAACTTTATAGGTAAAGTTGGTTGGGGAATCACTGCTTAAAAATCCTTCACAATCCACTTATCCTAGAGTCATAGATTGTTGGGTCCCAAGGCCCCTGTAAAGGTGATTACATTAACTTTCTATTACTATACATAACGTCCAGAACCAACTCATAGCAAGTAACAATCAGTTTAGGTTTGCTTGCACAGCACACTTGCTATGCACCTCCCACTCCACACACTTACCTGGAATGTGAACTCCATCTTTTAGCTAATTATTTATAAGCAAATAGTTTCATTAAAAAAGTATTTTGCCAAGAGAAATGCAAAACAAATCAGAAAAAAACTAGACATGTGGCACCTTGTTCTTACCTCCTGTAGCAACTTATCTAACTTGTGTTGCAATTCAAGAAAGTATCGTGACGTGATGAGACCCTGGTGGGATTTATCCAGACAATCTCGAGCCAGCTCAATGATCTGATGGTGAGTGAAGCTAAGCACTCCATCTGCTAAGGGGAGGACATTGTCTGGGGAGTAGCTGGTGATAATTTCCCTTAGACGTTCTTCCATCTGAGCCGTAGCCTGTTGGGAGGGGACACACACACAGGTGTAACACAAGGAGACATGCATGAACCATGCATGAGTTATCTATGAGTTATTAAATAGAACCCTGGGAATTACATTTGAAAGAAACCTCATCTGGGGGCCTGAGGTATAGTTCACTGGTAGAGCACTTGGCTAGCATGAGTGAGGCCTGGGACTCAATTGCTAACAACAACAACAACAATAACACACATGCACACACACACACACACACACACACACACACACACACACACACACACACACAAATAAAGAAACTTCACTTCTGCATGATATGATCATGCTGTACACATGTCATTATGTATTAGTTTGAGCCCAGTGTCTGGACACCAAGAAGGAGTGTAAATGTTGACTATGGGTATTAATGCTGCCTCTGGGAACCTTGTTACTCACTGACGAATGCACCACTCTTGTGAAGACAATGGCACCAGAGGAAGGTGTGCACATGTGGAGCAGGAGCAATAAAGAAAATTCCTATGCCTTCCACTAGGAAGCTAACACTGCTCTAAAAAATAAAGAGAAGGGGCAATTGAGAAGTGAGAGACGTCACCTCATCACATAAAATATAGACTATAAACATTTGAGGTATCAAATAAAAAGGTGTGGATTTGGCCATCAATTCCCCTTTTCTGATGCCTCCTGGCCATGTGAACTTCTTTCGATAACTCTAAGGGTGTTTGTGGAGGGCTATGCTATCATGTTAGACCAGAGACTCCTTCAGATGGGTTATCAAATATATGAAGCATTTCTGCAGTTGCTATTCAAACTCTGGATTATGCCAGAGTTCCTCAGTATGAGCCAAAGGTTTGTTTTCTTGGCAAGGTTTCAATGTGCTGGAAGTACACACATAACAACTTTATCCTTAACTGCAAATTTATCCTCAGTGCATGGCCAAGGGGATAACCCTTACAAAAAAGATCTACAATTTCCTTTCCAACTTCCATTTTCTTCCCTGTGATTGCCTACTGGCTAATCAATATTCCTGGTTTATAAGAACTACATGGGCAGGGAGATTCCCTCTTCCCCCCATACCCCTGCTCTCCTCTCAACATTGAACCTCATTAACTAGGCATAGTCAATACCTGCTTTGCTGGTGGGCAAGTGACATGTGATAAATAGGCAAAACAGTGCTAATCAATGCCACCAATGTTAGGTTCATTACAAATAATAAGTACTCTGCTCTTTGTTTATGAAGCCTAAGAGCTCCCTTTGTTCTCATGCTTCTAGGTCCAAATGTATGGGAGGTGGCCTTTCCCCTATTATGTAGAGCCACGTGGGTGAGAAGGCATGGAATTTAGGTGAGTGAAGGGGTCCCTCAGAGAAGTGCTAGTGGTAACCAAGGGGCCAGGCAACAAGCCTCCAACCATGGCACTCTGGCTTAAGTCTAATTCCTTTTAGCAGGTGAGCCTCAGAACATGCCAACACATCTCTACTTCTGTGGTAGGAGGTTTAGAATGGGGAGGTGGGAAAGAAAATGAGGTTTAAAAAGGAAAACAGTGCTCAGGACACAGCAAGCTATGGCTTCTGAGAGAAAAACCATGCGCTCTTGACAATTGCCCAGTACATGAGGAACACGAGTACAAAGAGTCCAAAGGATACAGAGCCTTGAAGGGCAGTGCCTCTTCCTGTTACCTGCCAGGGCCCCTGCTGTGGGGTACACACTGGCAACTTTCATCACATAGCCTGCTGTGTTCTCTGCAGTTGTTGGCTTCACATTTGTTTAGTTGTTTTCTCTTCCTAAGATGGCTATGGTGCTGTGTAATTCAAGTCATTACTGGGCTGAACCCTCACTGGTGTAACAAAACCATCTTAGGAAGCTAAGCCTATGTTGCCCCATCACTGAGATGCTAAGCATCTTCACTTCCATCCATTTACCTTTGGGAACCTTTCTTTGTAGACATGGTTCATCATAATTATTTCATGGTCACAGCAGGCGGGGGAACGTCCAGGGCTGCAAGCAAAGCAAATTACCCTTTAAAACCTGCCACAGCATGAGATGAAAATAAGCCTTTTATTTATAAACAGTCAGTTGCATTGGAAAGTACTATGCAACCCTCATATGAAAAGTAGCTATCTTAGAAAATAAATCACAAGACCATTCATTAGCACACACATATACATACACACCTGAAAACACACAGACACAATGGATAGGGTTCAAAATGCAAGCTCAAGGAGTGCAATGCCACAGAATAATTACAGTCATGGTACTCAGTCAGGAGATGGCCTTGCAGTGTGTTTATGTCATGCACATGGCATGAGCTTGTGTAGTTGTGGCAACCAGTCATTGAATTGTAGTATCAAACAAAATGGGGTGGCTACTAACAGCGACATCCAAGACACATTTAACAGTGCAATTTCACACTTCTATGATACACCTGCGCTCTGCCACACACCACCAGAGAGGCGGAGAGTCTTCCGTGGCACAGGTGTTGTGGTGAAATCCATTTTCTACTCTAACAACTACTTATTTAGGACGCTGAGGTCAGCATTATGTACAATAAGAAAAGAGAAGCATGCAACTGTTGTGTTCTTCTGTGTGGTTGACACTATGTCCTTTCTGGCAAGACAGTTGTACAATTTGGGGCACTTATATTCTTGGACAGATAGATGCCCTGGGTACTTCTTTAAGAAAATTAAAAGTGAAACCCCTGCAATAAACCATGGTGACTCTAGATACAGTGGCAAAGTTATTATTATTATTATTATTATTATTATTATTATTATTATTAATCACAAAATAATTTCACATATCCCACAATTTTACAGTGTGGGTTCCTTTGGTGCTAGTTTAAATGTTATATGAAGAGGAAAGATATAGAGGGAGACCCCTTCTTAGTAAACCTCCATGCTGAACTAAATACCTAGCAATTGTTTTCCAAACAATAAAACTTTAGCTGACCATCATATACCCATTCTAACCTGCCACGGTCTCACATTGTTGATAAGGAGGCACAATGCCCTGAGTCCCTCTTCTAAGGAAGACCTGTTGCCCAGCTGCTGGGTGTAGGCCTCCCTGGATGCTGCTATAATAAGGCCAATGACTGAATAGCTGGAGCAAGGGTATAAATGGAGGGCCAAAACTCTACAGGGAACCCAGTTCAAGGTGGGCCAAAGCTGATGAGCCTGTATCATACTGTGACTTCTCCTTTTGTCCAGGCCTGCTTTTCCCTTTCCTTCCATCAGTGAGAATCCCCACAACACTCTCATCAATATCCTGCACAGGCCTCCTGCTTGCAGGTGCTTCCATCTGGAGACATAACTGTGAAACCTACAGTTTAAAGGAAGGCAAGAAACCAGTACTATTCAATACCTAGAGGACTGCATTTGACAAGCACAAAATTCAGAAATCACCAAGTCGTAAGAATGTGTTCATCATCTAGGAGAAAGTAAGACTAGGGGGGAATACAAAATAAGAAGACTAAGACAGATTTTATAACATAGGATCTGGGGAAAATACCTTTCCATTTATTCTCTCCTCCCTTTTCAACAGACTTCTCCTACTTCATATGATAATATGAACTGCTCTTTGCATCATCCTGAATTGACCTTGAACTTTCCATGGCTAGACTTTTTACAGATAGTCCCTAAGGCTTTTGCAGCAATTAGCATATTGTGAAAACTTAAAAGAAATATATAATGCCTTTCTATGGCAATTAGCAATGTCATCTATAGATGGATGTCATACTTGTATTTGTGACAATTCGCAAATCAGTGAGCACACATAAAAATTAGAGAAATGGTTGAAAACAAACAATTCAAGTCAATACCAGTTAGGATCAGGTCTACATACCTGAGACTTCGAGAACGGGGACGCATGGGTGTGTTCCTGCATCGGTTCTCAGTGGCGATGCTTTCAGTGGTACAAAAATGTTTGGACAAGAAGTGTAATTCATCTGGTGTTGGCTGGTATGGTAACTGGTGCAACTTCTCCTGGGAGGAACAGGATGACTAAAAGAAATCAAAGTAAAGTTAGGAAGACTACAAGCAGAAAAAAATTCTGTCCATGAATCAGAGCAACAATGTTGGCAATGCCACCATTTTACATTGGTTCTGTGGCAGTAACTATAGCCTAGATGCACAAAGAGACTTCTCTCTGAAAGTTCGCCATGCCTTCTAGATGCCCCACCCCCACCCCCCATTTGCCTGAAGCTTCACAAAGACAGTTTCCTTTCTGGGTAAAAACCAAACCTGTGAGATGGACAAAAGCCAGGAAAAAGCCCAAGGAAGAAAGCAAAGCCTGGAGTGAGACTGCCATGATGGATTAGCTCATGCTGAAGGGACTCCTGCTGCTGTTCCCAGTAAACAGTCGGGCTTGTAAGTAAGTAACATGATTATATGCTGTGAGATCATACATAAGGTAATGAAACCTCCCTCCATAAATGCATGCTGTTCTTTGATGCAAATGCCACCAGTGTGTGCTATGAGCACAAGGGAAGGACAGAGAAGTGGATGTTTTTGAGTGATACCACTTTTTTATTTTTTGAGGTGGATAGTATGGAGGGAAGAATGTCCCTTCTCTACTCAACAGCCTCAGTTGTCCTTAGGCTTTACCCCTGCTGAATTACTCCTTAAAAACCATCCCTCAATATCTGGAATGTAATGGAGAAGGCAAGCTGCTAAAAACAGGTGGTTTTTAAAGCAACCTGACTTGGGAACTGTACAATGAAGGAACTGTTGGCTCTGGGTTTTAGGGAGTGGTAAACTCAGTAAATCAATGCTAATAAAAGAGGTTTAGGATTTTTGGATACACGGAAAAAATGGCTAGAAAAAGCACATTTTTAAGAAAGATACCTGTCATTTGAAAATGTCAGTTCAAGCAGAGTTAAACACATACACACACACACACACACACACACACACACACACACACACACTGTCCTTACAAAAGAACACCCCCTTTGTAAATACTGAAACACTACAGTGCAATGGCACTGGGAATTAATGACCAGAGCTGAAAGTATCCCTGTACCTTGAAAGTATAAAATGCCTTGCTAAATACACAGTAAGACGTACAGGCATTTTTATAATATGAGATTATAAACCATAAAAATGAGAAGAGTAGAAAGAATTATGAGATAAACCAAAACTGTATTTGGGGTAAACAGGCACACCTAAAATACTTCCACTATGAAAAAAGGAAATAAAACACCTGGACTAAATCAATTCAGAAAATCTGACAAAGAATCATAAACATCAAGCAGGAGAGAAGCAGAGGTGATAATGGCATAGATAGGAAAATTAACTAATAAAAAACTGGGTGAAATTTACACAGAGGGCTGAGGTCAAAGCTCAATGATAGAATCCTTTTTTCACATGCACCAGGCCCCCAGGCTCCAGGCTCTGTCCCTAGCACAAAAAAAGCCCAAACCCAACACACACACACACACACACACACACACACACACACACACACACACACACACACACGCACACACGCACACACGCACACACACACACCAACCACACACGAGAGAGACAGAGACAGAGACAGAGAAAGAAAGAGAGAGACAGAGAGACACAGAGAGAGAGAGACAGAGAGAACTAAAAACAAACAGAATACACACACACACACACACACATACACACACACACACACCATAAAAAACCACCTTATCTGTATCTTCTTGGGTAAATCCGTGTCCACACTTACTTCTGTCTACAAACCCACTTACATATAAGCTTACAGCAATCACTTTGGGTAGCGAAGTATCTTCTGAGCTGAGAGAGAATTATGTAGAGTATCCAACTCACTTAGTGTGAATGTTGATTCAGGTTGCTACGGAAATACTAATATCCTGGATTAAGACTTGCTGGTTCTATGGCTGATGGGCTATTGTGTACGGGGCAGCGATCATACTCTCTTTCTAAAAGTGAAAACTAATTTTCAAATGCAGCAGGTGCATTTGAAACACACTTCATGAGGGATGATGGGACTTGCATGGGACTAATACCAAACCTGGAAGAAGGGTCCTTGGAAGAGGAAAGGGCTTCAGTGGTATATTTAGTGTTTTACTTATAAAACATAATAAACTCCTATTTTTCAAAAGGGCAGTGGCCATGTAACAAACTCTTGACCTCAATGAATCTAAAATAATTTTTGTTATTACAGCATTTGCACTACTGGAAAATGGCATAAGTGATATATCTATATTGAAGATTTGGGAATATTATGAACTGAGTGATGCAGTTGTCATGAATGCTGTCATCTTGATGCCAGAAAAACAAGACACCTAGAAGCATCTCTAGAAACAGCCTCAACTTAGAAAACAACCAAGGTGTGAATGGAAATGAACAGATCACAAATTGCCCTCAGATGAGCAGAGGGTACCTGGGAACAAACAGAAAAGCAGCCAGGGCTGAATCAAAATGTGCCCTCAGAGTATGGCATGTTGGACAACAAGGAAGTTCAACTTCAGTTTCACCCAATATGAACATCTCAGAGATCGAGTTGCCAGGATACTAGTGGGATCATCAAGAACAAATGCCATCTCCACATTTTCTCTTCTCTCTTCTTCTCTTCTTCTTCTCTCCTTCTTCTCCTTCTCCTTCTCCTCTCGCCTCTCTCCCTCTCCCCCCCCTCTCTCTCTCTCTCTCTCTCTCTCTCTCTCTCTCTGTGTGTGTGTATGTGTGTGTGTGTGTGTGTGTGTTTCAGACAGTCTTTTGCTATGCTGCCTTGGCTGGCTTCCCTAGTTTCAAGTGATCCTCCTGCCTCAGCCTCGGAAGCAGCTGGAACTACAAGGGTGCACTGCCACACTTGGCTCTCATGTGCTTATTGAAAAGATGCTTCTGTTAAGCAGAGCCTCCTTGGGTCAGCACTTTTAGATGAATTTCAAGACAGTTTCAGAGTCTCACTTCCTATTTCTCCAAGTGTGGGGCTAGTATGTTTCATTACCTAACTAGTTTGTAGGACTTTTGGCTATATCATAAAACAAATCCACTCTCAGAGAATGAAGATTTACACTAAAAACTGCTGCTACTTTTCCAAGAAATTAGACTTCAAAAACATTCTCTACATAATGATATCACTCAAACATCTCATCTCTCAAGATATCCACTTTGCAAAAGAGAGTCCTTCTACACATGCATAAATTCCTACTAGTTATTATTAAAAGTAATATGATTTAACAGTCATACTTCATATTTATGGGCATTTACATTCTTATTTCCATTCTCTCCCTCAGTGGAAACTAATATATTTGGTGAGAAATATATGGAGGGATATCGCCCCACTCCTGCATTATTTGCTTATTTCAAAATTAAAAATTATGATGTAAATACTATCTTACAGAAGTTCCACAAATTAATTTTCACTGCAAATTTTCACACTAAAAGACTGACAATACTAAATGTTCCCTGGGAGGACAAATTATATATGACAAAATCTATTCGATTTTGGAACATAACATTTTTAACACATGGCAATTTTGAACTCTCTTTAATAGCCAAAAGATATAATAACATTTACATTTCAGCAGGAGTGGGTCTAGAGTTCAACCAACAACACAATTATTTGTGAACTTTTAAATTGTGCTTGAAAAAGCTTCTAGTTTTATTTGTTATATAACCTATATATTTTTCTTTTTAAGAAAGTACATTTTTGATTGGCTGAATGACTTATATAGTTAATGAGAATTGTACACACGATTCAGATTATGGGTATGACAGCAGAAACTCTTCAGTTACCAGCTGACACAACTGTGCTGACATTTGAAGGATAATGACAGAAACCTAAACAGAAGCCTGTAGCTTTCTGTTGTCTATTCTAGAAATGAATGAAGATAAAAGCTGGCCAACCTATGAAACAGCGTGCACAGTCCAGAACCAATAGTCCTTGTTTTTTGGCAAAAAGGGAAATTATGGAAAATAAAATTTGATTTTGAAGGGAAGAAATGGGAATTTGAGACCTATAATTGCCTCCCACCTCCATCAATACATAAATCATAAACGAGTAAGAGAAAAGCTATCAGAAATTCTGTGTGGATGTGTGTGTATAAAAATGATCTCAGGGTTTCTTTTAGACATGTAAACTTTAGAGACATTAGTCTTTATGTAGATCACTCACAAAGCTAAAGAAATGCCACTCGCATGACCTAAAAAGAACCATGACATTAGGGTCTAGACCACTTGCTATATTTGTATGGACAAAATAAAGGGGTGGGTAAATAGCCCCTCGAATAATTTTCTCTGCTTTAGATTTCTGATCCATAAAATGAGGGGAAAAACAGCAGCAATATCATAGAATATATTGTGATATATATTTGGGCAATGAGCCCAAACGCTTTTTAGAGAGCTTGAATAATGCCTATTTTATTTTATAACACTTACAAAAACATAATTTAAAAAATTATTTCGATCCAATGGTCTGATTCCATGTACTCTTCCCCTTATTCATTCACTTCAAGAAAATGATATGCCGTTATTAGAGAAAGTAGGGGCATATTGTACACCCCTGTTTTCCAGGCAAAAGGGACATTTGTCACCTGAACTGCCATTAACACTGACTGAAGGCGATGCAAGTTGATGAAGTTAAATAAAGGAACCTACAGCCAAAACTCATGAATTTTAACTTTTTTCATTAAGTGATTATAATTTAATAAAAGCTAAAATTAAATGAGATAGGATAAGGAAGTCACAGGGCAAAGAATCAGCACTCTGTTTACTGGTGGCCTGGCTCTAATTAAAGGCACCCAAGGGCCTAGAGAGGTACATCACTTAAACATCTTAAATTATTCTATGTGGAGTCAGTTTTATCATTCACTTTTGCAGTATCATACCACATTTTCACATCTGAAATCACCAGTGATGACTGCTGCCATAATAGTCAAGCAAAACCTCACTGGTACTTAGTAAGAATTTTATCCACTGATAACATCCAGGATTTTAGTCGATATGAAGCTGGTGTGCCACAGAACCTACTCAGAACTGTTAGGGATGTGCTCAAACAAATGACCTAAATGGACAGGAAACTCACCTAGAACAACAAAGTGAGAAGGAAGACAGGAAAATAAATCACCTATCACAGTGCGCTACTCTAAGGAGACGTAAGACGAATCCAACAGATGTTAGCAATTTGGTTTTAGAGGTGCCCCAGAAATCCTACATTATACTGGGGCTTCTAGAAACACAGATGTAAGGCGGAGGGGGGGCACTCGTTCGTTCGTTTTAGGTTTCTTATAATTTGAGCATTAATCATTGGCTATGTGCTTAGCCCAATGCTGGGACATTCCTATACAATGAACCAGGGATTTTGACAAAATTAGGAGGGAACTGAATCAGAAAAGGCCCTATAGTTGCGGTCCGCACTTTGAGCTGGTGGATACAGGACATTCAGAACACCTCATTCAGCATTCATTGAATAAGGTGTGACCTCCTGGGCCTTTCTAAATGGCCACCTGGTTCCCAAAGCCCTGTGGTTACAGACATTCTCTAACTTAAGTCAGAAATGCTTGTATCTAATCTACTGAGCAGTAGCAGCCAGTAATTGCCAGGCCTGGGTTTGAAATGTTTCAGGCGAGAATTGTCTATTTCTCTAGCCTTTTCTATGGATTTACTAAGTTGTTTACCTGCCTTTTAAAAAGTTGTTAGGGCACTGACAAATTTATGACTTGGGGGGGCATCCTGTGAAAGAGGGAGAAAACAAAACAAGCTTCCATCTCAACCACACACAAAACGATCAAGTCCATCAAAGTTTAATGGCATCTTCAGCACGAATACCCCTGGCATGGAATGAAAGCAATAAAACAAGATCGTATTGTTTTCCCCAAACTCCACCAAATGGTATTGAAATGGAGGCTCTCTCTCTTCTCCAAACCTGTCATCCTGGGCCTTTTGGACAATTTAACTCCACAGTTTGGAAGCTTGCAGCAACAGTATGCCCTTTTTACATTTGTTAGCCCATCATTCGACACACACTTCATCCTGAGAGGTAGACATGTGGAATCTATCTTTGCCTTCCCACTGGGGAACACCCAGAGAAAACACAGACTGCAGATCAGTTTTGTGGTTTGGGGATGAAAAGAAAAACCAGGCACTTACAGAGACTGTGGAGCTTGGTGTATTTGTCCCATAGCCTGAGGAGGGAAGAGAAGCCAGAGACCAGCGACGCCCGTCCGTCCTACAGGACAAAGAGAGTTCAGTTAGGCCAACTGTGGAGTGCTGATGATACCAGGGAACCCCAGGGAACCAGGGTATCTTTAATCAAACAAATGACATAAACATAGTCTATGAGGATGAGGGTTAGGGTAAACAAACATTATACAGCAGGTTGCCTTTTATTTAAATGGAATCAATACATCCAAACAAGTAGAAAGTGAATGGGTTGATCCATAGTATTGATCTCTCACTAATACACTTTGACAAAATGAATACCAGGGATAATTACAATGGTCAGCCTCAGCAGTTTCAAAGCAATGCAAGCAGAAATGGGAGGGAACATGCCCTATGAGGGAACTGAAAACTGGCCAATGATCTTCACAAGGGCCGGGACTCCAACAGGGTACAAGACTCTGGGGCAGGCTCAGGGCCTGCAACAGGCTTTCCACCTCATATTCCTAAGGGTATAGTTTTCCTTATCATAAACAGGGGTGGAGGGAGCATTGGGTTCTGGTTACTTTACACTTTTAAGTGGCAAATAACTCCATAGCCAGAATGCTTGAAGCTCGGGTTTTGGAAAGTTATTGCTTTCTTAGGTGACCTGGCTTCGTGAAGTTTTGGAGCAAAGTTCACCAGCAGACTTTGGCAAATCACCCCAAGGGCTGGAGGAAAATTTCAGTACTCACAATAGAAACTAACGCTAAGAGTAAAGTCTGCTCAGGCTTCTTAAAGAGAATGACTTTCATCCTCAAATGGTGACTACATGATGGCTTTCTGAGCTGGACTGTAATATGAGTGAGGGTCACTACAGGGGTCTAAAATGAATGGAAGCAGTAGTTATTAGTGGCAATAGTGCTGGTAGGGCAAGGGGCTGCCACAGAGCAAATTTTCAAGGTTTTCTCTTATTCAAAGTTCAAATAAGATCATACCAAATCATAAACTATCAGGAAAATAAATGCATGCAAATTTTCCAAGGAGGTAAAACGGGAAAAACATTTTATTTAAAAGCAGCACTACTATATTCTAAGACACAGGATCATGTAGAGATGTTCTGTATTTCACAATTCTGTTAATTTACCAAGTGAGTGACAATAGTGGACGAGGTCTAACATAGACACATTCACAGTAAGTTGAAGTCAGAGAATTCCATAGCATCAGACTTGAGTTTGAGAAACCTCAATTAGATGCTGATATGGAAAACTGCCATTGTAGCCTGAGAGTCAAAGGAGGATCTTATAGGCTACCATGGATGCTACCTCCAGTAAATGCAATGGTCCACAGAAACAAGATGGAGGTCAAGCGAACACATCACAGAGTGACTACAATACTAAGATTTCGGTGAAATTTACCTGTCATTTCTGTGGCCATGATTGGTGGAGTACAATTGAATCAAGTATTTAAAAAAGGAGAAGAAGAAAATGAGATGTTTATAAATATACCAGGGAAAAGGAACTGGGGAGATTAAATCATGTATTTCCTTAAGAACACTTTTATACACATGAAAATGTTGAATATTTCTGAGGAAAACAATTATAGTATGCACATAAAAGTACAACCACCAGTTAAATGGAACATAGGCAGATCTTATATTCAGCTACCTATTTAAAAACCAATGCCTAAATTTTATATTTTAACCGCCTTTAATTTAAAAGAGAAAAGGATATTATTTTAAAAATAATTATGCAGTCCATTTAATAGCAATTATCAGAAACTAATCTCTGGAAAAAGCGAGGGACAAAATTTCCCCACCATGATTTTGTTTTGTGATTCATTAACTACCCTTCCCCTCAGGTATCCACAGACATATTTCAGATGGATGAGCAGTTCCAAGAGGAGACATGTTCTTATTAGTTCTGAAGCATAAATTACATTTGCTTAGTCCAGAAAACACACCACCAGGAAGATGTTTAAACAAGAATGTGCTCAGTTCTTGGTACAGACATGGACCAGAAATAATTCATGTCTCATAAAGTTCCCAAGTTGCCTGTGTCTGTTTACTCAAATGGAGCAAAAGGACCATCACATTTTCATTACCATGACAACCGCACATCAGAAGTTACTATATATGCTATGTGCAGTACTGAGGGGAGAAAGTGACCCTTTCCAAGGAAGCTATCACACAGGCACAATTTGGATCTGACTAACAATGCTATCTTTTCTGTTCAGCAGCTCTCAATAAAGCAACACCCAAAGACAGTATCCTCATCTTCCCAAATCAACAAGGCTCTTTAGAGAAGCTTTTCTTTGTGGGTGGAGAACTCAATGTTACATCAAGTGAAAAGAGAGGAAAACATCTGATGAGAATACAGGACACCAAGAGATTGTGTGTGTATGTGGGTGGGGGGTGGGTGGGTGGGGCTCAACTCACAAAAAAATTATATTGGGTAGTACACAATAAAGAAAGAGTGGAACACTCTGATACCAGTCTGACAATTGTAACTGTATGAAGAGAAAACAGGTTAGTATGTTTAGTAATTATAGCCACCTGGGCGATACACTAGTCTAGACAATGTTGGGTCAAATAAAACTATACCAATCACCAACTAAAATCTGCTACAGGAAGAGTTGTAAGACTAATAGGAGGTTACCCTACTGAGTCCCTGGTGTTCAAAGCAAAGGCAATAGTTTGCTAATGCCCCAGCTTCTGGCAAAGCTATGACATTATTACCTCCATGTTGCCATTCAACAAAAATTTTAAACAATCCACAGCTAGACAGGCCCTAGATTGTATGGACTGAGAATCCTTCATCCAAGGTTCTTTGAACCAGAAGAATTTTAGGTTTGGAATTTTAGATTTTTTTCTTTTAAGGTATTTCCAAATTTGGTGAACATCTTTACTCCTAAATCTGTAGCTTTTCTGAGCATCCCACTGCTACTCAGAACATTTCAATAGTTCTTAGTAAGTTTCATATTTGGACACCAATGAGATGGCTCAGTAAAGTGCTTGCCATGCAAACCCAACACCCAAGTATGATCCCTAGAAACCGCACATGCACATACTCATGAATGAAGACACATATACATATGTACACAGAGAAGGGGGAGAGAGACAGAGACAGAGAGAGACAGAGAGCAACAGACAATAAAATTTAAATTTAAGGATTTCAGATTTTGGATCTTGGATTTTCAGATAAGGTTTTACACAAGTTATAATTAACAATCTGAAATATGAAGTAGGTGGTGGTGGCACATGCCATTAATCCCAGCACTTGGAAAGCAGAGGCAGGGGGATATCGGAGTTTGAGGCCAGCCTGGTCTACAGAGTGAGTTCCAGGGCAATCAGGGTTACATGGACATACTGTCTTCAACAAAACCAGTATGTATGTATGTGTAACATTCCATTATTAAAGAAAATATTGTGGTGATTATTTTTCTCTTAATTAAACTCAGTATGTTAAAAACTGCCCTGATAGGTTTACTCTTGGATCTGTATTTTAAATTATCAGTGTGTGTCATCACACATTACAGTGTGTAATTGGACTATTATGCTACCAGGTATGTAACAGGAAGAATGCTGAACAAGTAAGGCTGGAGATTAGTAAGCCTAATCTTTGTGTCTTCACCCCAGAATGATCTCAAAGACAGGGCCACATTTCCTCTACTGGGCTAAATTCTAAAACAACGAATGTGAGAATCTCAAACTAGCATTACTTGACACACGGCCAGTGGGAGGCAGTTAGAGACCCCAGGCGGAAGGTCTAAGTTTCCTGAGTGAAAACCATCTCTAAACAGTAGGAGTCACCAGATGTTAGGTAGAAAGTGCCTATCTGAATTCTCATAATGAACACACGGCTCTATTTACCTGAATAAAAGTGTAAGACAACGGATCACTCATGTACTAATCAAAATTAATACTTTTTGAAGAGTGTGGAAGGAGTCCCAGCTGGTAGTTCATGCAACACGAACTGGAGGTCTCCAGTGATAATCTCCTGTCACGGTTTATGGTGTATTTGTCAAAAATTAACATGCTTGGGGGGTTGTGCAATTTTTTTTCTAGCACAGAAGCCAGATTCATCTGTCCTTCAGTCTCCCACTTAATTATTAGATGCTCTTCGTTTTTATAAATCTGGCAGGATTAAGAGACTGGCTTCTGTCATGTTTTAATACACACTGCAATGAGATTTGCATTTACTTATTACTCAGGGTGATTGAATGCACCCAGCTTCCATTTTAGAGTACAGAGGACACTTGTTTATTGACTTTCATAGCTTCTTCTCCCGTTTGGAATAGTGAACCATCCTGAATTAATAGTCTGTGGGCAGACAGACTTCCTAGAGCCACTTAGCTTTTGCATTTCTCTTGTAGTATAATAACTGAAATCTTAGTTTAAAAGAAAAAAAGTTGAATCTTAAAGAAGACCCAGGTGTGGGTCTTGAGATGGCATCTTAATCATTCTTGTACCCTCCCCACAGTGGGATTCACAGAGGCCTTGAGCATATGATGGGAAATGACTATGGCAATGAAAGAACAAACATTTCCTCTTGGATTGGGACTTAGAGTAGGTTCTAAATAATAAAGAATTGTGCAAATGCTACTGGAATCTTAGTGATAATACAAAGTTCTGAAAATCTTTTTCCTAGGATTTCAGGACACAAAATGTACTGCATGCTGACAAGAGTACACACTGCTGACAAGAGTACACTCATTAGCAATGTGTAGAACAACAATGCATTTTAAGATATACCTATATAATTTGTAATAATGTAAATGCTATTTGAATTCACTTTAGTGTATAGTTAAGTCCCTGAGAAATTCTTACAAATAGATGGGACATCCAGGCCATACATTACATTTATTCTGAATATCTGGAGACCTGAAGGGACATTTTGCATTCTGTCTTTCCTGGGTGGAGGAGGCAAGGCACATATGTGAGAGGGGTGAAGGGGGAGTGAAGACAGGATGCTTGCCTGAGAAAAACACACTGATTTGGAATCCAGAAGAGTTGGCTGAGACCACAGCAGGGGTACCAGCCTTGGAAAGCCTGGGTTTTAGATACTTCTAAGAACACTTCCTCTTAACACTTCCTCTTAGTTCCCTGAGAGCAGAGGCATAGCTCTTGAACATCCGCTGCCTAATTCTACCTACAATATCAGCAGAAAAATAGTGCTGGGCATGTCTTTAATCCCAGCAGTCAGAAGGTGGAGGCAGGTGGATCTCCTGAGTTTGAGGCCAGCCTGATCTATAGAGTGAGTTCCAGGACAGCCAGGACAACACAGAGAAACCATGTCTCTCGAGTTGTCCCCCACCTCAAAAAAAGAAGGAAGAAAAAAGAAAAAAAAGAAAAAAGAAAAGAGCACAGAAAACATCCTAATGATCCAAGCATTGCTTTATCTCAGATCTGTCATTTAACTTAATTACTGATTAATGCTCCTGAATTCATACCTTGTAATGAGAGTCTCATTTTTATAAAGCGTCAGACATAACGATAACAACAAAACCTTGTCCAGGACATAGATAACTAAAGCCTGCACAGCAACAACACAACAATGTCAGTAAAAATCTGTCAAGGTTAAACCATGCACAAGGCATGTTCTACAGATGGAGAAAACAAAGAAGCACCTCCACACCTTCACTGGGGTTCACATTCAGCAAAGGACCCAGAGGCACCCTCCAACTCTAACACAAGGCACAAGTCTGCAGGACAACTGTCAAAGCTAACAAGGTCCTTTGCTTGGAGAAGGCTTTATGTGAGAATGAGAAGGATCTCCCCAGACAGAACCCTGGAAGAGTAGGTGGGAGAGTGTGGGGGGAGAGAGCGGAAACAGGATTCCCTGGGAACCACCTTATTGACCCACTAATATGTAGTCCTTACCTCCGTGCAAAAGAGAAATGGGCTGAGGCACTGGGGGAGAAATTCCTTGGACTGTCTTGTGGGCTATTTCCTGTGGAGAGAAAAGGAGAAATGAACAACCTCATTTTGGTTTTGTGCCATTATCCACATCCAGAATCTTCTCACTAATCAGCTTCTTTACAGTTCTACAAAATGTCATTTCCTCTAATAATGTTTTAGCCTTGCCTGGAGCAGGGATCTGGGAAGCAGGCAGAGGGGGTGGGAGGGTACTGAGTTCCAGCACAGCTTCCCAAGTGGGCAAGACATATGAATACAAACATTCAGCACTTTCCCCAGCCCTGAGCCCTCTGGATCTGTAATAACCTAAGCATTTCAGTCTGTAGAATGAGAACATATACATTTTGTATGGTACCTTCAGATGCTAACACTTAGATGGATGGTGAGCTCATGTTTTCATCGGAGGTGCTTTTTATTTGGGGGAGGCAGCCTCAGTATGAAAAAAAAGTCTTGAATATAAATGTTTGGATTCCAAAGTATACATTTAAATGATAGATGTGTCAAAACAAGTCATAAACTATGAGGGAGAATCCAGCCATCTGGACCTATGTCTAAAAGGTCCCCAGTTCTATCTTCACATTGCTGGAAGAACCTGGCAGGATTACCCCTTGTCAATATTTTTCTTCAGCAATCTCTTGCATCTCTAAGCAGCTGGAATGTGACTGGCCAGGCAGACACTAAAAACCATGGCCACAAGGAGATGGCAGCACGTGTTTCTCAAGTCCTCCACAGGCAGAGAAGAGCACTGATTGCTCACAGGAAGGAGGGCAGCACCCCTGGGGCTTGTTACTTTCTCCATTAGCCCGCTCAACCTGCTGCTGATCATTGACAAAGCTTGGCAGGCAGCTGGCGAGGGCAAGTTCAGGACACTCCAGACCACCACGCTGCTTCCCCCTGCATACTTAATTAGATGCACAGCATTGTCAGGGACCACTTGGGAATGGAGCTGGTTTCAGTAAGGAGGTGAGAAAAGGCTGCAAAGTTGCTCTATTGGTTTCTTGAAAAGTGGAAAAATAGATCATGTGAGATGCCTTTCATTCCCCCAACAGCAAGGCCATTGTCACATCACTGGCTCCTCAGTGAGAGTGACCACTGTAGCCAGCTGTAAGGAATATGGACTTCCAGTTCCAAGTCACACCAGCTGGAAAGGTAAACAATTTGTTATTAGTATAGAACAGCCGAACCCTCCAGGAGAGTAAGTTTAGTGTTACCTTGAGGACTTCTTAGACTGGCTACATCTCCACTGAAATTTTTCAATTAACTTAAGGTTGCAAATTTTATAGTGCTGTCTTCAACAGATGCTATTAACTTTATGACAGCACAATCAAAGCCATTCAACGGGGAAGCGCTGAGAAGCGGTTTCTTTATAGAGAGCCAAGCAAGGAGTGGTTCCCCTGCCACAGTGAAATTTATCATGTCTTTGCATCTGCTGCTCCTGGGGCCCCTGGAGGAATAGATTTTGCTTTTGCTGTCCAGTAATCCAGGATTCATTTTGTCTGTTTATCTACACAGCAAATTAACTTATTTTGATTTCTCTCAACAGCATTCATTCCCCTACTCCTAATTTAGCTTGTGTATCACTCTCTGCATTCTGTAAAGGAGCTCAATAATTTCAAGATGGCTAAAAGCCCTTGCTTCCTGAGGGGGATACTCTAATGCTTGAAATCATTATAGAGAGGTTGCTTTTCTTTTTTTTTTTTAAGTTTGGAGAATATATTGATGTTGCTTGTGCACCATGGAGAGAACAAACTACCAGTAAATTATTAGTTGTAACAAAAACAATTGCTTACTTGAAGCCAAGACATTCTGACAACAATGCTCTCTTCCTCATTCACAAGAATAAAATAAGATCAAGGGAATCTGGCCCCATCCCTAGCCTGTCTTCACTGTGCAGAAAACACTAAGGCTGGAGCTTCAAATGTGGTGAGCGAAAACAAAAAGCCCATTCAATATTTTTTATAAATTGGTGGGGGGGGATCTGAGGAATGAACTTAAAATAACTGACCCTTGGAAGCCAGGTACCATTTTATAAAATGTTTTGTAGCACTTGATGACAGACAGACAGACACAGAAGCCTGATTAAACCTGCCCTCCAAAGAAATCAAAACTGCCAATACTAAAGCTTCTATTAACCATCCCCAAACTTGGCCTCACATCCTGGGCTGCCTTTCCAGGGATGACCAAAACTTCAGGTAAGATGGTATATGGGGACTTTAGGAGTCAGAAACAACTCAGAAACCCTGTAAAAAATTAAAGTGGTCCCAGAGACAAGCCCTCTAGCTGAAGAAATTACAGAGGGATACAGTCAATGACCCATGAACTATATTTATTGGTATTAGGTATTGGGAGGCTTTAGAGATGCTTGGATGCACTGAAGGAGATGGAGCTGCACCAGCACATGCAAGGTCAAGAGAAAGAGTTTCTGTGGGCAAACCAAGAGTGACTGGTGATGAGTTAGAAACAAGCTTGGAAAAAGAGAGAACACAGGGACTGGTGTTGCCATTGTGGATAGATGGGTGAGATGACATGGCAGAATAACCCACTAATAGAAAATCTGGAGAGGTAGGTGGGGTTCTGGTACTAACACAGGAAAGAGTCACTGAGCACCATATAGATGTATATGTTGTGCACTGAACAAAAATTCAATTTTCCTTGGGGAGAAATGATAAGATTAGCACATTAGAGTTATGGAAGTCAATTGTGGAATGTTTTGTCCTTATTTGAAATAAAAAAAAAATGGACTTCTTTTTGGCCTCTCAAGATTCAGCAATGCTATTTTGTTAGACAGTGTCCACAACACTGCAAATTTGGGGTAGATGGGTTAGAATTCATGCCATCTATGTTCTATGATGTCCTCTCTGTTGAACACACCAATGGCGCTGGCTGTGAAGAGAGAGCAAGATGGATTGAAACTGGAGTCCTTCATATGACCTTCACTCTTTGCAGCACTGCTCTCTGCATTCATCCACCCATCTGCAAAGCAATACCTGAGAGACTCTCGAACAAAAAGTGGTGCCAGTTAATTCTCTGCCCATATGTGCAGCACTTGCTTGTAACTCACATCCACTGCTCCAGGGATTTGCTGGTTCTTGGATGTTTGAGTGCTTGGACACTTTATAGACTGCCAGTATCCCCACTGATGCTCTGACCTGATAAAGTGAACCTTAGCGGTGGTCAAGCATTGGGTAGGTAATTAACACCAAGATCCCCAAAAGGCAGAGGCACGGCTAAGATGCAAGCAGTGTGTCGGAGCCATGCTCTACCTAACGGCACTACACAGGGTGCCTCATTTTAGAGGCAGTTATTGTGAAGAAAGTGATTTCCAGATTAATTAAATTGTTTGATTGCTTTGTAATTAGGCTGGAGAAGTCCTGTGTCTTCACCACAGAGAAATAAGCTGCAAATCTTTTTAAAAGGCATATGCTTTACCCACTATAGATTATTAATGTGCTTTTAATAGCTATCCGTTCACAAAATGACAGTTTCTGATGCCTCAATTTTCTGTAAGAACAGAGGGAATCCAAGAATTAATGATGATGCCATTTGGAATTCCTGGTGGATCAAAGAGTAAGCCCCCCACTTGAATCCTCATTCTCATTACTTGATGACCCCCTTAAATGAGCTGTGACGTTTTGCACCATAACAATCAGTGTGGTATTTTCTGCATGCTTTGAGGGTCCTCAGTAACACATAACAACGCTTCACAACCTAAAGAGCAGACTGCACAGAAGCAAATTTAGGACTTACTTGCAAGATTTATACAGCAACCTTCAACAGAATAAGTCATGTGACATCATAGTTCAAGTTGCCAGCAAACTTTGAGTGGATCCCACTGGACCACAACAGGTGATGTGTGAAGGAAAGTCAGATCTTCCTGTCACTTAGTCACCTGTCTCTGAAATTGGCTCTTCTCCAGATATAATTGTGGAATATTAATTAAACCTGGGCAGCTGTTGAGGCCCTAAATAACCAAGGACTATCTTTGATTAGCTGACAGTGGTGGTGTCTCTGGCAAAACTGTACAGTGCTCACTGCAGGCCAGTGAATAAAGGATACCAATGTACTTGGGTGTTCATGTCAAGAGCATATAATTCATAATGCATTAAGGTTTTCTTATAATGTGGGTTTTCTCTGCTAAGCCCAACATAGCCAGAAACACTGCCCACTGCTTGACTAAGTCAGGTAAGAAACGTATATTCATCCTCTCCTTCACAGAAGGGAAGGACAAGATAAAGATGTTCCTAGCTGTTCTGTGGCCAATGAACTGAAAGCAGGCTAGGGCAGGAGCAGGGAGATGTGTCAGGAAGCTGTTAGTACAGACAAGAGAAGGACAACAGTTTGAATGCAGGACTGCAGATTTTGGAAAGGTACTGACAAGAAAACCAATGTGGTTTGTTGAAAAGAGGATTAAATAGATCTGGGAAGTGAGCAATCGAGAATGGTTTATTACACAGTGGATCAGTGCCTCACTCAGTCATCATCACAGAACCTTCTTCTTGCAGTAGATGGGAACTAACCTACAAATGGGCAATGTGCAGTGACTGAGACACTTTGGAGCACTCAGTCCTAAATGGCATGACCGCATCAAATCCCTTCACTCAAGGATCACAGATCTATATAGGAAAGAGGGAGGAAAGATTTTAAAAGCCAGAGGTAATGGGTGACTCCAAGGAAATGTAAGTGATACACATACAAACTCAAACAAATGTGGCAGCTTGCACAAGACTTGCACAGGTTCAAGCCAGACAGGGTCCCAGCACTGAGGCAGGAAGTGGACATGAGCTACCACCACTAATCAAGAAGCATCTTTAACTAATACTTTCTGGCAAAGAAAAAAATCACTTCTCTCCAATGAAGCCTCAATGGGTATATTAATCACACTTCAGGGCAGGCCCCATGTAAGTATTCGACCAACTCAAAATGAACTCAATGTTTTTTTTGTAGACTTTTTGTTTGTTTGTTTGCTGTAGAATATTCCTTTACACTGTGTGAATATAAGTCACTGTGATTGGCTTAATAAAGAAGCTGATTGGC